GTGGGAGTATGCCCACATGCAACTATAAATCAAAATCATTTCGACGATGAGAAAATCAGCTAATTTAAAGAACAGGGATAATTTTAATAAAAACACTTGGCTATGCTCCTGTACAAGTACAGCAATACCTAAAAACCAGGAACCATCGATATAACATACTAGCAAAAATATTTCCTTGGAAATGCAACAATTTGATGAATACAAAGATGTTATTATTGATCAATATTGTCTTGATCTTAACACAAAAAATCATTTCTAAAAGAATAACAGAAAGTGACTAACACATTTCCATCCTGCTCGCTCCTGTTACCAGCCAAAATATATTCCTAAACATAATCACGACAGAAAAAATTGTTGTTCACACTTCCGTAAAAATTAAAACTGAGCACAAGAAACCGTTGAAAATCTACTTGATTTATATCTCTATTACATGTTTTCCACAAATAAATACGAAACTGGAGTCAATGACGCGAAGCAAACTTCATTTTGCGTCAACAAAGTTAATTGAATTATAAGGTACCGAGTATGAATTACTTCACTGTGTAAAAAATGGTTGCATAATACACAGTGCGATAAGACGGCCAGGCCGCGAATTTCTAACTCACGATTAGCCGTTTGTATAGGGAAAATATTCGAAGTGTAAAGCCCGGTTTCATATATCATAATTACTAGAATGATGTGATAGGAAAAACCTGAATAAGAGATAAGTTAATTGCAATAATGGGGCAACATGCAATGCAACGCGATTTGTAGTAATTTTATGTTTATACTTGGAACGTGGGTAAAATTTGATTTATTATCAAAAATTAAATCTTCAGAAAGAATCATTTAATTACTATCCATTTATTAACAAAGGGAATGACCTCGAACTCCTCTGTAAAAACACAAGTTACAACTAGAAATGAAATGCACAGACACGCAAAGTTCATATGAAACTGTATTGCCATGGGACGAGTAAAGATACCAGCGTCCCACTCCACGTACACGAAAGAGATTGGGTATATAGGCAACAAAATGGCGGCATAAAGGACATCAGTTAGCAAATACAACGTCTTTTTTGCAATAGTTATAAATATTTAATGTTCTTTTTGTAAATGTTCTTTATACTTTGAACATAGATTCCAATTGCATTTATGCATTTTGAAAATTGGGAATAATTTAGAAATCAACAGCTCGAAGTAATATTTTTATCGACAATAGACGCACCAATACCGCTGTCCACTGATGTCCATCGGAAATTGTATTTAGAATTTGCTGTTTTGAGCAACAACAAAAAAGTAAAAAAAGGGGGAACGGAGCAAAAAAGAAAAATATGGGTAAAACAGGCCTAATTTATCTTCAGTTGCGCAAGTTCTTGAGCGTAGATATCGAATTTCGGGCGGAGTGCTTTATCGCAAGTTCAAAGAATTGTGATGGACAGCGCCGTCCGTGTGAAAGGGGCATGATTTCAAGTACCTACATGGCTAGGTGACAACAAAATAACGTTATCTTGGCCTAACAAAAAACATTTAGATCGGATGCGGTGGAATTTACAATCAAAATTAGTTTGAAAAACAGAATAGTTTGATTGGCTTATTTAAATTGTTGAAACTGCATATTGATAATTTTGCAAGGAACCGAGGCCAAAATATCTTTTTGGGAAGAATGCCAAGATACATATTAAGAAATATTCGACAATAACGAAAACGATATTCTCACCGCAAATATAAAGATTGTAATGCGATAAAAGACAAAACTGCGACCCCAAACGCCCCAAAACCCGCTGTTTAAGCCGGCTTTTGCCGTTTGGGTGTAAACTAACGACCTTTTGCGGAATTTACATGTGAGGAACTTGCGATGCCAAAACAGCAGGTAATAGTACACAAAGTTTAAAAGTCATTACGTTGACCATAAATCACCCACAGTAAACGGAGATGCTATTTTGTCCGAGACTTTGTGAACTTCAACGAAGCGAGCTAAATGCACTACAATTTCGTGGTTAGTTCATATCATTTTAATGGCAAGTATGGTTTGCTTTAGATAGCGGGTGCGTAGACTGAGAGTCAATAAAATTACTTTATATCACTGGCGGCGCCAATTTGTATAATTTCCTGTTATGCTCGTATGCAATGCAACTACAGAAGACCTGGCGTTTGCAAAACTATAATTTGAATTTGGATATGACAACGATTAGCTAAATTTCATTGTTGCTAAGAGGCAAATTGGGTCGATGCAAGGAAATATACTCAAATCCTTCATTGCGCGGATATAAATACGTCAGTATCCCAACTGTCCCAAAGTTCATTTCTGAAGAGGGTTAAAAATTCCGGAATGACGAAACGTAAAGGATCCGACAACGCCTCGAGTGTCCCATACCATGGATCTAAAGCGGCTCTATTCAACAAGATAACGGATGACCCGGCTATCGATATCGGAGTATCAGGCGACGATGGACGTCTTGCTTTACCTAAAAGTTTGCATGCAGAGTTGATGACATCATAAGAAAAAAATATCGATGCAGTAGCTGTACAGAAATTTGAAGACAAGTCATTGCTTAAGGTACCAAACATGGAAATAAGTCAGTAATGAAAAAAAAGGACAGTTCACATTACAAGGAAACCAGTTGGAGGAATTATTTGCAAACCAGCTAAATAATGGAAATGCGAAAAACTAAACGTTTTGACAATAGACGACACACGCAGTGAATGTAGCCATCACTGGAAGCACTGCTTGGCCTAGTTGAATGGACCACTTTACAGATCACGCATTCCGCGCCAAACTAAATCACCGAAATATTGGAGATTATTAACAGAACGAATGAAAACTTACCATTTAATTACCTCCTTGTTTTGTTCTGAAATGCAATCTCAACTAGGAAGTCATCATAACGCCAAACTTATGATGCCACTCATATATTATACAATAACTCAGGAAACAGGTATCTTTTCAAGTTTCATTATAATCGGGGACAGAATGAATATTTTCTAGACTCTCTTTGGCAAACTGATATCGCCATACGACAGAAATTTGGCGTCAAACATCAAGTCACAATAGCGTGATTTCGCTGGGAGTCGATTGAATATTAATGAAAATGACAAGTCCATCATTTAGAAATTTGGCATTAAACTTTGTAAATATTCTCTGAAACTGAGGTATTTGGTAAATCAAATGCTATAAAACTGTACCCTCCACACTGCACGCACTTCGCCTTAAGACTACAAGGTTTGTATTGGAAAACAGTAGATTTAGGATTTTCAAGATTTAATCGGGCGGTAAATAATATGTTTAGTTTGTTTAACAATGGCTTGAGTATACACACACGCAAAACAGGATTGGCGAATGCGTTTTTTAAGAGAAAGTGTTTTAAGAAGACAAAATTGTCGGCATTGGCGCGTGTAGCTTATTGTTTTTGCCAGTTGACACAAGGCGCATTGGTAAAGTATACAAACTGTCGGTAGATCACAACAGTAGCTTTCGAAGGAGGTAGACTGTTTCAGAACAAAAGTGGGGGTTAGGTGCATCTTAAACTGCAAACGCTCACAGTACTATTAATTGAAGATCTATGATTTCTTGAGATGTCGTCACTTGGACAACGTTATAACGAGAGGCCGCATAGAAAAAAGAATGTGATCGGATGAATTAGAATTTCACTCACGGGAATACTTTGCTGTCAAAGACAAAGACAAATCTTTGTGAATATCATAAGCATGTTGTTGAATTGAAGAATTGGACTGAATAATAGTTGCATACGCAGCTATTCTCATCTGATTCCCATGCAGTGACAGAATCTCTTGAAGAATCTCAATATTCTGGTCAAGGTCCGGTCGCACCAGTAGAAAGCGAGAATCGCCTCCTTTAGATCTGGGATGGCGCACTTTTACAGCAAACTTAAATGGGCAATCTCGGTTAAAAAAGTGGGGACAGCAGCATGATGTCCGGTTATCCAGTGAAACGTTGTAAAAGGGGGATATGCAAGATAGGCGTCCGTGATTGCAACGTCTTTGAAAGCCAAAATCACACGAAAGCAGCATTTTTATCCCTGTATATATCCAACACACTTCTAATAAAAACATTAACACCTATTCCGCGTTCGGCCATGACTTTGTGTGTATTGCAAAAAGCAAAAATGCGCAGAAAAAATTAAAAACACCCACCGAGATGGGATAAGACACTTATTGTATCAATTACGAGACAAGATAGAGCGGATTTTATGCATATTCGCGCACCGGCCCTTAGAAGGGAAACCCATGAACCTGTAAACCGCCGTGCAGATAAAAGCCAAAACAATTCAAAGTTCGAATAATAAATTCACACCAAGCATATTAGATGAGTTTAAGTTCTTAGAGTTGACTGACGTCTACTAAACGAGAATGCTGGTGTCGGCGGTTGCTAGCAACTTGAAACTGTAATACAGCATAGTCACTGGTTATTGCAGCCAGCAATTCCTTAACAAGTTAATAGAGGTGATTCAATCAAACAAAATGGCAGACATTTTAAATAATATTGATGAAGAGCAGAAAGGCATGTCATGTTATGATACAGATCGTTTCAAGTAAGCAACAAAAGAAAGAAAAAGTATAGGAAGAATTCACCCAACATCATAACATAGAAAACTAATTCAAAGAAGAAAAAGGCGAAAGAGCCAGTAAGTTATAATTTGTTACCTGATCAATTCTCAAAAATTTTGGTAAAATTAATTTGCAAAGTGGCCGGTCAGATATATGTGTATAACATATAAATTACTTTGGCCTTAATACTCTTTAGCTGTGCATTATCAGTAATGGCTGGTTCAATGGAACAAACATGAACATACAAATAATGTAAGCATAAGATAGGTTTGAAAATTCATTGATTATTTTAAGTGAAGGAAAAATCATAAACGAAAATTATACGAAATCGTTTAAAGTAGTATCTTCAAAGTCGATTCCGCAGTTTTCAAATATCCTATTCTACATTTCTATTCTGTTATGAACCATTACCAGATCAATCTGTGGTATTAAAATCTTTAAAGATAAACTTACCTTATTATAAAGCAGAACTCCAAGAATAGCAATACTCATTCCCATAATATTAACATAGGTTACTGGATTCCTCAATGTTAGAAGAGACATTGAAATAACTACTATTCGTTTGGTGGCATTTGCAACTGAATAAGACAGTGGAGATACCTGAAAAGATAACGATTGTTCATTGCATTTTCATCCAAACCTAAAACTTTTCAAGAATAGGAGAAAGCGGAGTTACCATAGTTAAAGGCGGGTGCCAAAGTATTTCCTGTAGAAAAACTAGGATAATATTAATGTGGTATAGGCATAGTGCCATAGTCTAATCACAATACAGAAATTTATATGTGTTGGTGAGCAATAAAAGACACTTCAACGAACAAACTTTCCAAGGGTCAACTTACCAAAGATATGATTGTAAACGCAACCATACTATGCGCAAAATTACAAAAACAATCAATTAGAAAAAGTAGAGAAAGAGTCCACATGCTTTTAACCTGAAAAAGAAAAGTAGTTGTTAACTAGAAACCTTATAGGTGAACATATCGACAGGAAGTTTGCATCGATCAAATAACCAAAGCTGATAAATCGAACTTGTTAGAGGCAGTTTCGACACTAACAGCAAAAGTCAGTGTTCCTCAGTTCCAAGCAGAACGCCTTGTATTGATTTTTATGTCTAATCAGAAATAATTTGACATATTCTGATAGTCCCAGTAAAATAATCAAGAAACAAGAATCCTTGGCACATGATTCTAATATATAATATAATTTTGGATTTAATTTGGGGAAAAAAATTGTACTGCAAGTTTGTCTGTACCAGTTAAACTGGAAGCCATTTTGTTTTAATCTAGGTGAAATGGGTACCCTTACATGGAACCAATTAATCCCACATTCAAGAAACGTAGTATTTATGGACAATATACAAGGCATCATTACCAGGCTCATTAGATGAAGTATAACAGGATTAAATAGAACATTAGCAATTCATAATTGGCTTTATCAGATGACCTTACTGACCACTTGTTTTACGCATCTGTACCCAAAACATAAATTAAGCTGTGATGCGGATGTGAAGTATAGCATCATAATGTATCAAGAAAATATTCATGCAATAGAATAGAACTTCATAATCCAGAAAACGTAAGTCGACTTTTGAGTACAGCAAATGTACATTGACATTATGAATTTCTAGGTTGACACATTGTGCAATTCACATTTGAGCTTTAATATGGTTTTCTTACATCTGTAGTTTAACGAGGTAACTGACGAGAAAGGCAAAAAGGCGACAGCTCTCTAGTGACATCTTAGGACAAAAACTTAAATTGTGAGTATGGAACAGCATGGCTGTCAGGATATTAAAGGAGGTTTGCCGTTTTTTTGACAACTGAAGGTCGGGAGTAGACGATCCACAGGCAGCCTTGCAGAAAAGTGTAATAAACAATATATGATCATATAATGCGAACTTGAATACCCTTTACTACCAGTAAAAGCACGGGTAATAAAATATAGAGGCAGCTTCAACTTTAGTCAAATAAAGCATTGAACACATGAACACATTGATCATGCATTGATTGAGATAAAATGAATTAACATCCTGAAAAATATTTAAACAATTAAAACACTTTCTCACCTTAATATCATGTGTTGGCCATTTTGATACATCAGTTAATAACCAAACAGGTAATAAAAATACAACACCAAGTTTACAAAGCATAAATAGAAGTCTCAAATGATGAATTCTTTTATCTTTCATAGTCTAAAAATTTGGAAAAAGGTTTCAAAAAACATTTGATTAGCTACAATGCTTATAATGATACTATTTTATATAAAGAAAACACTAGAGGGCAACAGAGTGGTTCTGTTCTCTGGAGACCAAGGAAAAGTCTTTACTAGGTACCATCCTAAATGGCTATATTAATATAGAGCAAATTGACTGATTTGTTTAATTCTGTGACCGTGATTCTTAATTCTGTTCGATTCTAAGTTCGATTGGCTTTTTGTTATCAAACATGACGACTAGAGAAACTGATGGAAACACATTAAAAACAAAACTAGGGATTTGTTTAAGAGTAAGAGACACCACAAGTGTTGGGATGCTTCGGCAAAGGGCTCGTGGATCATGGATGTTTGAGAAACACTGCGCTAGTCTATCCAGGCAAATATCATAATCATGCATTGGGGAAAAAGTAGTTTCGAGACAGTTGATCAAAACCTAAATACCATTAATTCAAGCTTGATAAAACTTACCTTTTTTGAAAATATATTTTGTAAAGAAAAACTTAATGTTGAGAAAAGTGCACTGATAAGGCCCATCAAATGGAATGATATTTCTGTCACGGTTGCAATTGCTATTCCACCAACAATTGGTAGTAATGAAAAATATATCTGAATAAATAACGATAAAACATATATGTTTGCATATATAACAATTTGATAGTCTGTTTGGTACAATATTTCGAAAAAATATATTGGCATGAAAATTTTAGACCCAGGAAAGAGTGTTTTTCAAGATTAAATCACATACATCATAATTATAGGTGAATTGGAAATAGAGACTGATTATAAATCAAATTAATGGGGAAATTTTAGTTAAAATTAAGCACCTGATAAAATAAAGAAACAAAAAAATTTATTAGATAGCAAAACATTTTTACAAGATTTTGACTGTAAAGCCCAAATTCTTACATCACAATTTTGATAGGTGAAAAAACATACCTTCCATGGCTGTTTCTCTTTGAGAATCATTCTGCTTAAAATGACAGTAAATATTGGCATTGACGCTTTCACTAAAAAAGAAATAGGAATGTCCAAAAAAGGAAAAATTATTAACCACTAGTATGAAGTTTACCAAATGCACATGGAAGAATTCAGCCGGCTGACAAACAAGAAATGTTCATTCAATAAATTCCTAAAGTATAACTGATATCGAAAAAAATGGAAAAATTATACCATGTGAATGAGTGAATAAGATACCTTCACCAAATTTAATTAGAAAAACGAATTTCTAAAATGCTTGTTATGCTTTTTTTAAATCTTATTGTGCTTGGGTTGAAATTGATTTATTTATTGATATATTTATATGCTAGGCTTTGGATTAGTGAACTATCCTGTTCCACTAGTAATTGGAGTGTATTCAAATTTGAGTGAGTTTTGCCTCGGGCTCACTTTAATGCCCCTGGCTATTTATACTTTTTATGTACTAACATTCTAATCCCTCAATCCATAAATATCTATAAGAATATTTTTCATATTGGAAATCGATGAATTGCCTTTCTAAGACAAGTAGTACATCGGACATACAATATTACAATACAATTTTATATCATTTTAATATTCATTCAATCCATCACACACAGTGTCCATATGAGTTACAAAAAAAAGGGAACTTATATTGTCAGAGACTGAAATACCTGTATGTGCATATGAAACTGGTACTTTTGAAATACTGAATTGCGATGTAAATGACGCAAAAACCTTTCCAAAAGCAAGAGGTGCAATCACAGCAAAATAATATCTTTTACTTATAGATGGATTGGGAGGCACCTGAAAAATAGAATCATGCGGTATGAAAAGATGTGTTAATAATTACTAATAAATTGCAGAAACATAGTATTTGAAATGAAATTTAAATTAGTATTGTCAGATTGCTTTTATCTCCAATGTCAACAAAATTACGAAAAAATATGAAAAAAAAAGGGCCAAAGATGAGTGATTCTCAAACACTGGCTTTGCATTAGCAATGGTACACAGAAATTTTACATTTTATAGCAAAATATCAATCAATTTAGTACGGTATTGTTGCCTTTATGGCATTTATAAAAATGAAAGTTTTTAAAAAGATTTATTCTTATTGTGATAGGCCAAATGTGATTTTGCAAATCATTCAGCTCCATGCAACCCAGTTACTGCTTATAAACATGACTTTGTGGCCACACAAATAGTACCGGTAACTTATGTCATACCTGCCATAACTTCAAAATCGGCCCAAGAAACAAAGATATAAAAGCAGCATGACTAATTGAAGCAGTCAGAGGATATGGAAAGTCAGTCAATATAATTTTGGATATAATGTTCTCTCCTGCACTCAGGATATACCTAAGACAATATAAAAATAAAGTTAGCAATATATTAAATATTCACTGAACCTGTGATTCATGTCATGTTTTTACATACATCTGTACATGGGTTTGACTCAAGGCAACCTCTAACTTACTTGCTTGAAATGGAGTCAGACTGGGCTTGAATTTAAAGAATCACAAATAGCAAGTAATTTTGACAAATTTATGCAAGTCAAGAAAGAAGCAGCTCAGGAGGTGAGTAGATATCAGAGTAGTAGACAAGATTTCACTGTTTTCTATCAACCACATTCAGTGAAAAATAAAAACACAATCACTTTGACAACACTTTATACATAAATTTTATGGTTTAATAACACACAATACATTGTAAAATTTCCTGAAATTAAATGGGGGTACCTCTGCCGGGGAGGATCCTCAACACAAATTTATGTTAGGGTATTAGTAGCTTATAGCAAAGTTTACTTGGCTTAGAAACTCTAACCTTCGACACAACACAGACAATCATCATTTATTTAAATTACCAAATATTTATTAGAAATGATCAATAAAAACATAAGATTTTTATTACATGCCAATATTATAAATCTGCACGAGAATCCGGTAAATCAGTAAATGGTTTTATTATTTTTTTTAAACTTACCACATGCAGCATAAGACTGTTAATCTAGCGACATCTTGGAATATTTTCTTCTTATTCTGAGCCTCCTTACTATTATGCAAGTGTTCTGTAAATATAAACACAAATTATGAGTCAATAAACTTGAGAGTAATTGCTAATAGACTTATCTTTGATTTTATTACCACCTAAAAATTTTAATAAAATCCAGCTCAATTCCATTTTCAGATTTTAGTAATACCCCGAATAGTGTAAATATTTACTACAAGTTTGATAACACAATATATTTAAAATAAAGTATTTCTACAGCCATCCAGTGTGGTTTTAGCCATACCTGACATCATTTCGAACGAACTCCAGATTGGAAAATTTAAAAACTTGAGGATGATTTATCTGTTATCTGAAACGTTTCAATCATCAATGGTGACACTGGCGATTGCTTTTTGTCCAGTTTCAAAGATTGAAGATGTTGGGACAATACAACACTAAAATTAAAACAATGATTGCTAGATTGATGCTCTGTTGTCTGTTAAACAAGAATATACATCATTATTAGCATTTGGCCAGAAAGAGGTTTGTTGTAAGATTGTTTAACTCGCCTCTGCGTCTCTTCATCTTCCTTCCCCCATCTGCCCATGGAATAAGTACTGAAGTATGAGGTTTTACACAATTTCCACCCGTCTGCCCGTTGGCAGACAGGTGGCATAACTTAGCTTCCAGTCGCCTACTGGTATACGGTACGGGTTATTATTTCCAAACAATGCTCCAGGCGAATGTAGAACAAAATCACAACTCAATCTTTTTATTTTTCTTTTTTTTTTTCGATAATAAAAAACTCAAACAATCTTATGGTCGGAAAAGTCTACGGCTGTACGTGGCTAAAATCTTATCCTTGCTCCCACCCTTCGTAACCAATAAATTACAATACCTGAATACCTAGTCTACCTCAGTATCAACCCCTTAACCTAATTATATTATACTTAAACTGTTAGTAGTAGTATTGATGCAATCTGGACTACAATTTGGCAATATTTCGGCATGTCTTTGGTGAATGAAAAGGTTTAGCCCACCTCTTCATGCACTCAGCAATTTGGCATTTGACTCCAATTATAATTAATCAGCTTGGCGAAATCATTTTTTTGTTCTTATATTAAATACTGTTCACTCTTGTTTAGGAATTTTTATGAAATTATTGAAATGGTGTGGCAAACAATTTCTTATAACTTTTTACATTTCATCTTTTATGCTAATTTCTTTTCGTGTTTATTTATTATTTTTTTGGTTACCACATAATTTATCTAAAGCTTCTCTCATTTTTCTAACTTTTTTAATTTCCTATGGTTCTGTGTGTGTGTGACGTGTGCAAGTGTGAATGATTTCTTCCACTTCTTTTTGGCAATACTTTCCATCTTATATTCTGTACGTTTTAAACCTTGTCCAAGGTTTTGTTTACTCGCCTGATTTCATACCGGTATTCAGTTTTTACTAATTTGTTTTCATCAACCCTTTTATCGCCTTTTTGCCGATTACGGAGTCGAAATAAACTTATCTTATCTTATGTGTGGGTTCGCAGGTTCGAATCCCATGCGGGGTGGTTATGTGCGAGAGGATTGCTGGACTCCTTGCCGCCGTTGGGTGGTTCACGTAACCGCTGGTCGGTTACGGCTTCCTCCACCACCAAGTCCATGCTTCCGAAAATATTATATATACGCTTTGCAAATACCTAACTAATCCCATACCCGACATGGAATGGTAACCGAACGAGAGGCCGTGGTTCGCGATATGGTTAAGCCGTCAAATCGGCTTTCTTCTCCCCCGTGATAAATATGTAAATCTTATCCTTATCCGAAGCCGGTACCGGACTACCGGTATGGCCGACTACCGGTATGGCCGTTTCTCCGAACTTTGACCCTAGAAAAATTCTCCCTGTGGAGGTTTCCCCAACCCTTGACCCCAGAAAGTTCATTATCATTGCGCAATTTTATCGCTGATTCCGAGAGTGTTTTTGGAAGTTAGTGCCTACAAAATGGCTCACATGTTCAAAACTATCATTTTTATTAAAAACAATAAACCAGTGCTCGTCAACCTTTTTTTTAATGGTACACCCTTTTAACACTTTCTCTAAATCTGGTACACCCCGTCCATCCTATATTTTCAATACGAAAAAAACTCATTGTTTTTTAAATGTGTTAAATATGTTTAAATGTGTCGGCGCAATAGTTATTATTTAGTCAATGTGAACGTTGCTCTTCGATTCAATCGGGCATTTGTGCAAAGCGAGGTAATAACTTTGTTCCCAGTGCCCTTTTCATTAGAGCAGTCGTTATCAACTTCTTACTGACAACGTACCATTTTGGTATTCCCGAAGTATGTGAACCAAAATGGCAGACACCGCAACGTACGGACACCTGAATATAGTATGTGTACCCGGTTAGAGTTAGGCCATCATTTTATTCTAATTTTCCTCATTTTTGTTCTATTACGAGTTCGGGGACTAGCCAGGTGACTTCCTTAGTATTTAGGCTATACCTGAAATTATGGTCTTACTCTTACCTGGTACACATATTATGTTCCGGTGTCCGCTATCTTGGTTCACATACTTCGGGAGTACCACCATTTTTTTTTTTTACTCCGGCCGCGTACCACCAACAAATCCCCTTTTTGGGGACGGAGAACAAAACCACAAGAATGTGTCGCGGACCATACTGTCCGCGTTCATATTGTGTATGTATATATATTTTTGGACACGTTTAGTGGACATAACGTTTTCGTTTTTGGACACGTTTAGTGGCCATAACGATCGTTTCAATATTATGTTGTTGTTGTTGTTCTTGTTCTTTGACACGTTTTTAAAAAATCGCTTTTCTCTTCGAATACTGGACCAATTGCTTTGAAATTTTCAGTGGTTAAAGATTAATTTCTTCGCTAGAAGGCTATTACTTTTATTTATTTCAAAATTTTGCGTGAATTCTATGAAATTTGATATTTCGTCCAAAATTTTGCTGTATTATTTTTTATCCATGGGAACACGGATTTTAGTCAGTGTCATGACTGGCTGTACGTTTTGATTCTGCAAAATTCTTGCTTCTGGAAATTCAGAACTTTTTTAAGGGTACCGGTAGCGTCAAAGGTACCGGTAAAGACTGATTCGCTCTGGTCTAACGTGTCCATATATTTGTGCGTAGCTCTCTTGTGTTGTTATGTTGTTGCAATGATTCAAAGCTGCTCGGCTGAGAACCACTGCATTAGAGTATCTGCATCACGACCGTCCAATCTTCTTAGTGTCGCGGGCCACTTTCACACGAGGAAATTCATTTCGGCCCGCAAACGTTTATAACGAACTTGAACACCAGCCAAGACGTCAAAATTGAGTGTCATATTTGCAGTTTACTGTTCTAATGTCTGGTAACAGGTGGTCTGGACATGGGACGTCACTTGCGCGGATCTGAGTCAAACGCTTGTACAGCACAACGCACTTGCGATTTGTGGACACTTTTCGCTAACAGACAAATACGTTAAAATTGAGTGTTATATTCACGTTATGATGTTTTTTGTTTTTAGTGGCTATGATGTTGTTTCAATTCTCAAATGAGCAGGTTGTGCGCCAATATCACGTCAATTTCAACAACTTTTCAGTAGGTCATTTTGTCAATTCCGAAACATCAATACAAGTTCCTAACAAAGTAACATTTCTACGATTTCCGAAATAATATATTAATTTGAATATGGAAAAATGCCATTAAGTCAATTTTATCCTAATTATTAACCGATTCGCAGAGACGACATTTCATGAGTTTTATTTTATTTAACGCAAAATAACATGAACACAGCAGAATAATACAACGAACCCCGAAGCCAGTAGTAAAGATATTGTTCACTTTTTATTATATGTTGGCGATAAGGACGATCAAAGCTGTCAAGAGATAATAATAAATAGGAAATCTAATTTGGAAATTTGGGTTGCTAAATAATTCCTATAATTTTCCTTAGCGTTTTGTCGCCGATGATCGCACAGTAGTTTGTCGAACAGAACGCGCAGTTTCTTAAACCTAAAAACAAACATCGATGTCCACTAGAGCGCAAGACTTGATCATACCCAAAAAAGTATCAAACTGCTACAAATGGTATTGTGACGTTAAAATCAGAATAAGCAGATATCAGAAATACCAGACATACGTTATGCATAAATAAACACGTATAGGTTAGTTAGATAGGTATTACATACCATTGCCATAGCGTATGATATTCGCATATCATGTGTTAGTGTGTACCCTACAGCATTTGGTGCGGTACACCCTATCGATGTGGTACACCCTTTGAACTTTTGGTACACCCTGGGGTGTACTATACACCTGATTGACGAGCACTGCAATTATAAACTATGTGCCGCTTATACGTATCCTACTGATAGCTAATTTTAGGCTAGTCCATCGCAGCGTTTGCGGTATCAATTTTTATTCTCGTAATTAAACTAAAGGTCCTCAGAAGACACAAAGACAATTAGGTTAGTTGATTTATAACTATTTTTCGGATACAGCTAAAAACTGAAAAATATTACGCAAAACTACCAAAAAAGACAATGTTTATACCCTCACTTGAATATCTGTCTGAGCAAAATAAGTGTCTGGACGGCGGCATTGATTCCAATTGTTACGTCATTGTTAACTTATTGCTGATTTATAATCGCTACGGAAATAACCAAGAAAATCGATGCCCGGGGAAACATCCTATGGATGTAACAAAATAATGTATGCTCATTTTGATAGTGTTTTGAAGAGTGGACGTTCACAAACTAGTGCGTAGGTTTGGAACCCCGGGGTGTCAAAATAAGGCTGACGAAATGCGGTCGTTGCGTGTCCGATTGGGGGTGACAAAATAGGGTCGTCGAGTCAAGTTAGGGGTGACGAATACGGTCAGTGCGTGTCAGATTAAGAGTGACGAAAAACGGTCGTTGCGTGGTGTCAGGTTAGCGGTGACAAAATACGGTCGCTGCGAAGAAACCTTGATGATTTGATTTCCGCATGTCGGAATAGTAGCATCACATTTTGAACTGGACCTATATAATACCAAGCATAGCGTATATTCCGGTAATATTATGAAAAATATATATGTATCATAGTTAAAAGTGGTTTTGTATTTGAACTTAATTTACCACAATTCTCTTTTTACCTTTATATAGATAATACAGCGATATTGGACGTCGTTTAAAGCAAGTATGGGTGTGACGAAATAGGGTCGTCGAGTCAAGTTAGGGGTGGCACAATACGGTCGGTGCGTGTCAAATTGCGGGTGACGAAATACGGTCGTTGCGTGGTGTCAGGTTGGGGGGTTTAAAAAAAACAGTCCAAATGCCGGGATTTCGGGATCGGAACTTCCCGCCAATATGACTTCTATGGACCTTTCCCCGACCTTTGATCCCCGGAACATTCTTCCTATACTTTACCATTGCAAATTTTCAGGGCTATTTTAAGAGTTCCTTAGCGAGTTGGCGCCTGTAAAATGGGGTATGTGTTTCAAACCATCATTATGATTCATCGCATACAACAATCTGTTTTTTAAAAGTACCGGTAAAAATTTCAGGCTAGTCTATCACAGCTATTTCTACACTAATTTTTATTACTGCAATTAAATTAAAACTCCTAGGAAGACAGAGTGATCATTGAATTATCTGATTTTTATTTCAGTTTCCGAAACACAACTGAAAACTAACGAATAGAGTTCAAAAACGCGAAAACGAGGTAATGTTTACAACCACGCTTGAAAATCTGTCTGAGTGAGAAAAGTGTCCGAGGAGATGCGAAAAGGGGACATTGTTACGTCACTTTTTGCATCTTGCTGATTGGCCAATGTCACGAAGTAAACAAGGAAGTCGCTGCTCGGGGAAAGGTCCATCGGCGTTGCTGGTTCGAGTAAATATCATTGGAACCTCCAGACCTTTACATGATGAAAGGTAACATTGAGTCTTCTTTTCAGTAATAACACTGAAAATATATCCTATTCCGTGAAAAGCACGTTCTGTCGCATTGTTTATTCGGAATCAAAAACATTGTCCGTGTGGAATTCGAGACGTGCATTTGTTTCATCCATTGAGGTTATACAACTGGTTTCACTCCACCATCCTCCGATGATCGCACAAATGCGACAAAATCAGGAAGTGCCCCATTAGCTTCACAGATCTAAGAGCAGTTTCGCAAAAATTACGGATGCCTGGAAAAGACGGCTTTCCTCCACAATGGACCAGTCGATTTCAACTTTTTTTTGCAAATTTAATCCCAGTCGTACAAGACTGTATATTTCTGCGAAACATTTTCCCGTTTTATCCTTGATGTCTTTTAAGCCTGTGATACCATTTTGGTCATGTGCTACAAACGCCCTAACCGCCCAGTCTTAATATCAACAAACACCAGTGATATACACCTTTTTAGTCACCTACTGCTGACAAGTAGCCTTTTTAATCATGTACTGCTAACACATACCATACCCTCTCTAGCCCCCTACTACCGAAAGTATGTGGTCTACTGCTGATAATAAAGTCTCACGAGAATTGAGTGTGTTAGCATGTCCATGCTTTGAGTAAATTCTCTTTACCTTTAAAAACGAAAAGAAAAACAAAAAACGTTACACCAAACTTTTCATTGTAAACAAAACAGTGAGTGATACATATATAATAAAAAAGTTGTGAATGCTGAATCTGATAGTTGAAATAAATAAATGACACAAATCATGAATCAATATTCAAAGTGTGCTGGTTTGAAATTTTACTGTTGGGAGTATAGTTTACTCCTCACCTCTCATTTGAACTCAATTCTACAAATAAGTGTAGTTAATAGTTACACATACAGACAGTGGGATTCAGCCGGTTCACACCCGTTCTATAGATCCGTCTCAAGAAATTTTATGAGAACAGCGAACCGGTTAGCATTACTGGCTACTGTCAATGTTCTGTTCGTAACAGAACCGGCTGGAAAATATGACTTTTGTGAAAGAACCAGCTGACAAAAAATTTGAATCCCACCACTGCATACAGAGCATTCCTCAAACCAGTCAAAACTAACAAGATTGCATAGATGTATCGAATATCACAGATAAAATAACTATAGTCTTCTCGATTCGATTTAAGCCAGTTGATTAAAATATTGTTAAGTTACACAAGTTAAGCAGATCAAAACACACATAGTAAGTTGAGTTCCTGGGAAACTGTTCAGTGCCCAATTGTTGCAAATGCTATGCAGCAGACCAAATGCCAAAAATTTAGCAGGGTTTGTGAAGCATTTTCCAAAACTGTGCGAAATTTGGTCTTTGCTCGAAAATCGCATTATCACCAAGTTTCAGTAATGTTAGAGAGTTGACAACAGTCTTGTCCAGGAAAGTGCAATCACAGCAGCAGTTTGTCCGGCACCCCAAACCAATGCAAATTTGGGCACCATTGTCCACCCAAGTGAGACATATACACCGGCTATGAGAGCACCTAAGAAAAAAAATTATGATTCAATGAAACAACAGTGACTTCACTTTACAGTAAAAAAAAGGAATCCTTATATATGCCCTATTTAGCCATGTACAACGAATTAATCATACTTTCACATGGGTAGATTACCATTGAAGACCAATTTTATTTAAATTTGAATACAACTTACTTGATATAACCCCTTCGGTAAGTGGTGTAAAGAATCCCATGATAACTATTGACAGACAATACCAGCGTCCTTGTTTATGTTTATGAAGCGTGCAAAAACTGATCAGAAAAGCAAACGCATGGGCAAATATTGATGAAAAAAGTGCCCATAGAAACACCCACCACCAAATCTCTAAATATACAAAATCAATATTTAAAGTAAATTCAGGTTATTCAAACCACTTTCAAACTGTATTTGTCCATTGTATTACAAATGGATTACTGGCATTTATATAGATTTTCATACTGGTTTTGGCAATGGATTTTCAGCAACCAATTGAAATAAATGGCTCCAACATATTAGAGAAATTTTAATACTTTAGATATCACAATGTCTATCTTATGAATTATGACGAATATCTTGACACTTTATAACAAACAAAGCCCCTAAAGACAGGTCAAACAACCCAGTGTAAATATGACAATTTAGATAAAAAAGACTGACTTTTCGGATGGAAAGACAATACTGTCATGCAAATTTAATATAAAATCAACCACAATAAATAAAATATCCATTTGATATATATGCCTATGTTATATAATTTATTTGAATTGTAAATATTTTATTACTACGCAGAATTTAATTCTGTAAAAATATGTTCAAAAGTAAACTATGCCCAAATGAAAAGAAAAGAAGATAATTCAATGAATCAATCAACAAGTCCCTCAGTTTTGTTTCAGCTAAATAAGCAGTAAATATATTGCTACAAAATACATTTTAATAACAATATTAATACCTCTAAATTCCTTCAAATGCCCATTCCACCACAAACTCAATACAGTTTGTAAAGGAGCAAGTAAATTTCCCTCATTATCATCATTAGTTGAATCCATTCTCTCTTAGACAACGAGTTGCAATGCTAACAAGGCAAAAATTTAAATCTGACAGCACAGTTCAGCAGTTTAAGATATCAAGTCATTCTAATTTGAATTAAAATACTCAAAAACAATACTAAAACATCAACCCCAAAAATTAGATAATGAAAAGAATATTAAACACATTACTAATGATGTATTTTTTTTAATATTTCCCACACAGCATTATTATAAACCTAACTTCTGTCGTCATCCATGTCCATCCATCCATTTTAACATTGTACCATATAAATGTTGTCAGTGGAATTGGGGCATCTGAAGGCTGAAGTTCTTGAACATACTTCCTTTATGTCCTCGGAATTTCTGCTAATAATTTAATTATGAAAAAATTCCCAATTTTGCAATTAGACCATCAAGCCATGCAGGACGACTAAGATTTGGGTTTCGCCTGTCATGCCTTGGCATAGATGACTTAGTCTTGTGATATTTCTAATAATACTGTGATATGAGAACCCAAAATTGAGTGTGATATTTATAGTGATATCATTCTCAACTCAATAATCTTGAATATCCTGTGAATGTATAAAATTACTGAAAGATATCGGATATTTCAAGATATACACACAGATGATAAAATAATTAATAAAAACTTACTTCGTATAGACTGTACAGAGTACAGGAGTAAGTCAATATGGAGAATAAATAAAACTTTTAAGGTTTGAAGGAAAAGTTCAAATCGGTAGAAAAACTTTCAAAAAAGTTCGAAAAGTGAATTGACCACAAAATGAATCTCAGCCAACTTACATAAAAATTTATTTAGACTCCATAATCAGCATAACAATAAAATGATTCATAAAAACAAATAGGATAAAAACTGATTATTAAATCAGGAGAGCAAACAAAAACTTAGATAAGGTTTAAAACGTACGGTACGGTACCGGTACCGTACCGGTACAGAATATAAGATGGGAGGTTTTGCCAAGCAAGAAGAAGTGATAGATTACGGTACGTGTTCACTCACCTAAATTGCGGTTTATCGTGCATATGGCAGTTCCTATAGTAAGTACTTGTATCTCTGAACCTGACCGCACCGGTCTTATTTATTTTTAACAAAAAAATCACATTTTAGCAAAAAAATGACAAGTCGTTTCGGAGCGGCTCAAATAGTGACTTCAATCAACTCCTTTCGAAGACCGTCATTCGATAGAGGGCGTTATTAATGTAAAAAAAATTGGATTGATCGCGAGATGTCGCAAGAGATTCGAGAAAAGTTGAAAATTTCATCAAAACAAGAACAAGCATAAGAACAACAAAAATACCGAAACAATTGTTATGTCCACTACGTGTCTAATAATAGCATCTCACGCACACGTTGAACTTGACTTCGGCCTGACTTCGATGTCCTGTCGCTCACTTCGAGGACGACGTCACGTTGTGTGGCTGTTACAGATTTGACGCCAGAAATTAGGGCAACGACGAGTTAGCGTATATTTGAAAATAGCAACTAAATCCTTCAGATAATTGGTTTGATTGGATCAATATCGGTTAAATATACACATGAATATTATTCTGTGGATCTTATATTTCAGGGCGTCGAAAGATAAATTCTAACCAACAAACGGCAACTAACTTGCTTAGTTCAAAAATGTGGCAGACGCTATTTTGTAACATTTTTTTGCAACGCGGAACATATGAAATTTTCGAAGACGAAGGGTAAATTTGGAACGCCGAGCTATTATGAACGATCTGAAATATATATCAGATGTAACTAAAATTTTATGTTACATGCAGTGGTGAGATTCAAATTTTTTGTCAGCCGGTTCCTTCACAAAAGTCATATTTTTCAGCCGGTTCTGTTACAAACAGAACATTGACAGTAACCAGTAATGCTAACCGGTTCGCTGATCTCATAAAATTTCGTGGGACGGTTCTATGGAACCGGTGCGAACCGGCTGAATCCCACCACTAGTTACATGGTATTTTCAGAGAAAATATATCAAATCCGTGTTCTCAAACGATTAAATATTCTCAACTTCACGTTCACGAAATGTCGTTCTCGCAAAACTACGTTCTGCATTCTTTTCCCTTGGGGCTCTTTTGTAAGCCGACTTCTCACAGGCTATGGTAATAGGTATGATAACAGGTCTAATATATTCCTTTATCAAAAACAAAATTACAAAGTAGTGAATTACGAGATTTTCAAATGTACATTATATGAAAACCAATATTCATTTACTTATAAATAACAAGTTTTTAGTCTAAATAACCGTAAAACATGGAATATCATTCATTTGAAACGTGTAGGAGGGATTTCTTGCTATCGACCAGATAAAAAAAAATTCGCGTCATTGACTAGGTCTTATTTTAAGGGGAGGGCTTATATTAAAATCATTTTCAAAATTCAGGCTAGGTCCTATTTTCAGAGCAGGTCTTATTTTCGGGGAAACACGGTACCGTACCAGATTTCCCATGTTTAGTTTAGTTGCATTTTCATGTTTATTCAAATAATATAAAATCGGCGTAATTTCGAAGTTCTGAAATTTGTAATTATACCCATTATACTCTCAAAAGTATTGAAACAGTCAAATAGGATAGTATTAATACCGGTCGAAAAGGTCATTTTTTATACTTACACATATTAGTTATGTGTGGATGAAATATCAGTTGCGAGAGTTGTTTTGAATTAAAAAGATTAGCGAGAAATTTCGTCTACTACTGCCATTGTACAAATTTTGATAAAGGTACTAGCAACGTGGTTTATAGAAATAGAAATTAGCATAGCCTACTTTGAATTGTACAAGTTTGTTATGTATCCGTTATTTGGCGTAAGATTTTGATATTGTTTTAAGATAGTGTTGCAATTGTAAGATTGTATTATTTTTGTAACAAACAATAAGTTAGAATCATGAAAGTAGTATGTACGGGTTTCAGCAAAACTGGGACCAATTCGTTATATGCAGCGTTGCATTTGCTGGGTTATACTACCTACGATTTCATGGAAAACGCTACGTTTTCGGCCGAAGAATGGATTAAGATCTTTAAACATGGGTGGACTACAGAAGATTTTCGACGAATGTATAAGGATGTAGATGCAGTAACTGACTATCCGGCGTCTTACTTTAGGCAAGAAATTCGTAAAGCTTTTCCAGAAGCCAATGTACAATTTTTCTATCGAATACAGTGATTTGGTATTTAATTTCAAACGAAATTGCGGGAACGAAGAGAGTAAGAAAAAAGCTTTCTCTTCAAATACATACCATGACGATTCACTGTTCTGTAACGATATATATCTAAAATTTTTAAACCGAAATTCTGAAACCTGAAATAACTTTCTTTAGTTCAATATATTAAATCAGGCAAGTAGTTTTGTCGTTAAATGTTTCTTCCAAAAACTGTTGTTGTTCAGGTGATTCTGACGTTAAGAGAAAATGAAGACGTTTGGTGCGATAGTATGATAAAACAGCTTTATATTCTGGAGGAATCGTTTCTTCTACGTATCATGGAGTTTTCACCAACAGCGAGAAAAACGATTGCAAAAGTGTAACCTATTTGAGTGTATATTTACAAATGAGTCAATGAAAAATGAATGGACTATAGCCTAACTAAGGGGTATAGGTTCTGAATCAATAACACCAATTGTATAGTACCTTGAATGTCCTTGACTAGTATGTAGTGTTTACTCGCGTTTTCTAGCAAAGGCCTCTTTCAGACATCTCCATGCCAACATGTTGTTATTATAAACAGTAATCCAGTATAAAAATACTTATTTCATATATATATACTAACATTGTGATATGAATATATATATATATATACGAAACGATATAAGACCCAGATTGGTCTGGACTCTGAACGTTAAAAATTTTTGCCATAAAAGACAGGACAATGCTTGATTGGGGTAGTAAGTTGCACATCAATGCTTTTTACTCTATGCTGACGTGTTAATGGGCCCGCTTGTACTATAGTAGCAGGAATCAAATCGGCTCAATTGAGTTATTTCGCTTCGTAAATGTATGATGCACGACCCTTGGATCACCCCAATCGTCTTTATATGTTTGAAAAATTTTGTTGTTCAAGTAAGTTGTTCCATAATTGTTGATAAGAGATGATGTTAAAGACATCGAAAATTACCATGGATATGAATAATGCCCTTATAATTTATTGCCTAAATACAAACTGATAAAGTTAAACATACACAATGTGAATTTAATATTCTATTCCTTGACAAGGTTTTATTATTGGAAGTAATGAAATGATGGTCAAGTACATTCAATATTTTATCTAATATTTTAAGATTCGGTAGTTTTGGGACACACGGACAGGTTCCATTGGAAACCGTTCAGCAGGGCACGCATTGACAGACAGCTTCTAAAGCTGAAATATCGAGCTCACAATGCATGCATACGTCTTACAGGTGTGTTTTAATATTGAGGTAAATCTTTTATTTTGTTACGTGTTTCGTTATGGAGCAAATATACCGACTAAAAATCGATTGAATTTGCATCGACAATTTTTATTCAATTGTGATCACGAACTGTGTATATTATTAAACTTTGTATATTATATTGGTAATGCCCCTTTTATTGAGCAACTGCAAGAATTTGGCGTTTACAATAGTAAGTTTTTGAAACATTTCCCGCTGTAATTTTAGAATTGATATTCAATTAAAAAATCTGATACTGATTTGGAAATAATTGTTTTTACCTTAAATGAACCTGCCGCTAGTTTTGACCATGAACTCTTGTGTATGGTTAATATGTTGCAATTTTATTTACGCTGTTTGTTTACAGAACGTACGGCCAGAAAAGTTATTCTTATATCCAAGTGCTCATATGGATGGGAACCTTTGTGCAAATTCTCAGGCATTGCGATTCCGTATGAATCGTTTCCTCACGAGAACGAAAGCGGAGAAATTTTTCAAAAATTACTGGAAACGAATCCCCACATGTTGAAAATGAAAAGTTCTTATGTCATCAGCTATCATAACATTAACCACATGCATTGCTGGATATTTACACGAGGCCCTCGTAATATTTTCCATTCTGTAACATCGTGGCTGAAAACCTTGCTAGAAATATTACACACGAGGTGATAAAATCAACTCAACTGAAACCGTTTATCTTTATGGTCAATATTATAAGCTTGAATGTATTCCGATTGAAGATTGGGTTTTAAATATGTGAAAATTTTCATAATCTCTGTGACTATTATAATGAGAAAACTATGCATAGATGGGAAGAAATGAGTTTCTAAAACTCAAACACCGAATGTGCTAACGGATAAATTTTAAATAGACTTGGCACCCGCGTAATCCATATTACCATAATACCAAGGCGGGCAAAAAGAGCTTCCCTACATCTAAATTGAGTTTTTTGTTATAATACGTTTGGTATGGTATACGTTATTGGTATAGTATGTCAACTTTATGATTGTTTAACTCTATTTGTCACTAACCAACTCTTTGTCAATGCATAATTGATATATATAATAACTTCATATTTCTGTGATAATTTTGAAGAATATCACAATTTCATCTATTACTGTTCCATATTTTTATATACTAGTAACCACAATTTAGGAAAATAAAAATATGTATAACAACGTAATAATTTTTCGATACTAACGTGCATTTGGCAAATTTCTATAGCGCATTGGCCCGATTAACTAATGCAAATTTTTTGGGTGCTTACAACATTTAAAAGTCTGAAAATATCTCTGAGGTTGATTGAAATGTTTAAAAATCGTTGGTGGAGATTAAATCTGATTAAAGTTACTTTTTCCAAAAAAACTGATGTTGATTTGGTGATATGTTCTAGGTTCGGATAAACCTAAAAATTCCGGCATATGGTTAGATAAGTGTCGGATGTAGGCTATTGCAAAATTTGTTGTCCGCGAAAGACATGTAAAATGACATGCATATTTACAAATACTTCGATGAAAAATGAATAGACTATACTATACTTACTAGGGGGTATAGGTTCCTGAATTAATAACACCAATTGTATACCTTGTAGCACTAATTCTAATTGATACTAACAGATACTGAGGCTGTCGCCGTCGGAAGTGCCTTCCTGCTCGATCTCAAGTTGATGACCATAATATACTCGAATTTTAGGAAAGTTGTACGAATGTTGCAAATGAATGATATCAATGACATTATAAATTGCTATCTAGTCGAAGAAATGAATGATTTATTGCCTAACTCCAGATTGATTAAGTGTATATACCGGTATATAATTTATATATTCAATCAATTGAACATTCAATTAATACACAAACATAAAAATGTGAATTGAATACGGTATTCGTTGGCAAAATTCTATTAATGGTTAACGATAAGCTGTTTAGAGTGATGTAAGGAGAGACTATACAGCAAATTTAACATGTATCACGTTTCTAGTACATGCAGTTTCAACACAGTACTATATTCCAGGGGTGGACAACATGTCAATCGCGGCCGATCGCCATGTCTTGAATAGTCGATCGCGTCTGATGTTGAGTGAATTTAATAACATACCTTCTCAAATTGCCCTGAATCAGTTTCATGCAGCGCATTTTATGTGTTTTAAAACAGCAATAGAGCAGCACTATGCATGGGTTAAATACGATATACGCATACAGTATAGTATTTGAGTCTGGGCAAGTCCGATAGCCAAGGATCAGAAATGAACTTGCCAAACATCGTGTGCTTTGACTGACGAACGATCCTACAGCAACCTCTGCAGTATGCGGATATTATTGTCACACTCGCAACAGTAGCAGTGGCATCAAAATTTTCTTTCTTTTTTTTATTAATTTAACGCAAGCGAAGAATCGGACTTGTCAGAAATTGTAAATTAGGAAGCTTGAGCAGTCATGTAACATTTGTGGTTTGGGATAATACCGTGTTTCCCCGAAAATAAGACTGGGTCTTATTTCGATTTTCTAACAAAATTACAAAGTAGAAAATTACAGGATTTTCAAATATACAAAATATGAAAACCGATATCCATTTACTTATAAATAACACGTTTTTATTCAAAATAACTGCAAAACATGGATTATCAACCATTTAAAACGTATATAGTGAGATTTCTTGCTATGGACTAGGTAAAAAAAAATCGTGGTATTGCCTAGATCTTATTTTAAGGGGAAGGCTTATATTTAAATCATTTTTAAAATTTAGGCTAGGTCTTATGGAATGAAAAAATGTTGTGGCGATTTCATTAAGAATGCCCCCAAAGAACCGAGCTTATTGGCAGCGGCGGATTTTTTGTATGCGTGCGTGAATATTCAGTACTCATTCGTTTTTGTGTATGACCTTATTACCGATCAGTCAGTCGATCGCGAGCTATTTTGACCATTCAGTCGATCGCGGTCAAAAGCCGGTTGGCCACCTCTGGACTATACGTTATTGGTATAGTATAATATTATGTCATCTTCATGATTTTTCAACTTTATTTGTCACTAACCAACTCAATGTCATTTGTCAATGCATATGTGATATAACTTCATATTTCAGTGATAACTTTTGAAGAATACTATATCACAATTCCGTCGATTTCTACTCCATATATCTATATATATACTATTATTAACAATTTTTTAGAATAAATATATATATAACAAATTATACATTTTTCAATACTAACGTGCATATGGCAAATTTTTAAAGCGCATTGGCAAAACATACTCAATACAATTTTTCGGATGCTTATATTTACAACATTCAAAAGTCTGAAAATTATTTCTAAGGTTGATTGAAAATGTTCAAAATTCGTTTGTAGGGATATGACATGCATATTTACAAATACGTCGATGAAAAATGAATGGACCATAGCCCAAGGGGTTTAATCGATGCAACCAATAGTAGTACTACCTCAAGTAATTTTTCGAGACAAGGCCGCCTATCGCCTCGGAAGTGCCTGCGCGATTTATCAATCACAGGTTGATGACCGTGACATATTCAAATTTTAACGTATATATATGTGTGGAAATCCAGATTGACTATATTTATCATGAAGGTGATAGTAGCAGGTTTCCCCAAAACAGGTACGAAGACATTATCTGCAGCATTAAGAATATTGAATTATAACGTTTATGACTTTTTGGAAAACATAACCATTTTTAATGAAGAATGGTATAAAATAATCAAGTATGGTTGGACAACAGAGATTTTTCAGAAAATGTATCAAAACGTCGATGCAGTTACTGACTTTCCCGCATACTTTTACTGGGAAGAAATTCACAAAGCATTTCCTAACTCAAAGGTAAGAAACATCATCTTTTCACCCCTGCATTCGCATTCTGCTCACTTACTTGGGTCTCGTGGATTCTAAATGAAAGTTTGGAGTTGTCATTTGCATAAAATACTAATTTAAAAGTCATTTCCATTTGCAAAAAATGAATTTTGTGCGCGTGTTTTCAATAACACTTGTTTTATAATTTCAAAAACACAAATAAATTTTTCAAAGCCCCAAATTTAGGGTATTTTTGATTTTCAAAATATTTTACTTTTAAAGTTAGTTGTAATAATGCTTTTTTTTTCAAAAATAGTATGATACTGATATCTGAGCATTTTTTTTTTTTTTTATATAATAGTTATGACTATTCTCAGATAATTATCATGATAAGAGATGAAGAATCGTGGTGCAGGAGCATGGAAAGGGAATTACGAACGAACGAGTCTTCATTCTGGATATTTTTCTTGCATCTTTTCTCACCAACTGCAAGAAAAACAGTGAAAAAAATATTTGCTTTCAGAGGTAGCTCAAGTTTAGTTTTTTAAACTTCTGCGGTAAACTATTTTTACAAAAGATTATTAACTTTCAGGACCTCTAACTTTGGGACATAACGAAGTCTTTACATGGAAGCCGTTTAGACGGTCAAATATTAACAGAGAACTTTTAAAACTGAATTATAGATCTCACAACGCATATGTGATTCAGGTACGTAAACTTTGAATTATTATTTGAAATCTTAAATTTCAAATCTCAACCTTAAATTTTTCTCTTACATGGCTAAACCCCACTTAAACTATATCAATATATGTCATACTTAAATTGCTGATACTCGAATACTATATACGCAAACATATATATATATTTAATCCTTCACAGCATTTCAAATTTTTTCACTGTAGTCGTGATGGTGCTAAATATGATCCTCCAAATCGCAAACAAAAACGTAGTCAATAAATAATGTTGTTCAATTTTATTTTATTTATGTTAGAATGCACCATCCGAAAAACTTCTCATTCTCAAGTGTGCGGAAGGATGGGAACCCTTGTGTGAGTTCTTGGGAGTTCCTATTCCTGACAAGCCATTCCCACACATGAATAAATCGTCTGAAATGCTGCAAGAAACACTTAAATTCAATCCCGTTGTTTTGAAAATGAAACAAGAAGCGATTCTGTCATTTACTGTCGTAACAACGACCGTAAGCATTATGGGATATTTTCTAATAAGTCGTGGTCCTATTAATATCATACAGTGGACTATTGAGGCATTTAGAAATACTATTGCGAACCTCCCTAAACTCTTTAGTGAGTAAATGTTACTAAATCATCGGGTGTCACAAAATTTAATGACGCAATTGTTATCGCAATAGCTTTTTACTTTCGTTCTGTTTAATCATTATATTAAAAGCATTATATTCAATTTACATGAAGGATATTTCAGGCGTGAGTATATAATGTATATAATAACTATATATATATATATAGCCACAAGTAAAAGCGATTCGAATATTCTTCATACAGATCAATATCAGAGATAAACTCGAAATAGGATGAGAATTTAACAAAGCGATCCACATGTACACTTGGTGTCCATTGATGACTGTCAGGCCTTTTGGTATCGGTAGCAAGTTATGGGACGAAATAGTCGTAAATGGATGTTTTATCTGCCACGAATTGTGCCAATGACCAATACTCCGTTCAATAAAAACAACAAAAATTACGTTTGATTTACAAATGTCAGTATTGTACCGGTTGTGCGGTGGTTTGAGTGGCAAAACGTCATCTTCTGAATACAAAGGAGATCGCACGCGACGAACCATTGAAATTCGATTATTTGTACGACTTGAAGGGTATTCAATTTCATCAAGGACATGTAAAAGACAGGTCAGCTTGGGGTCGTTTGGGGAAGGAGTAGACACGGAAAGGGAGGAGTATCTTGTGATTTACGGTTGTAAAGTCGTTTTTGTGGGATCATTATCTCTGGAAAAAAATTAAATGGGCGTATTGAATTTCAACATAGAAATCGTTGTATGCTGAGGAACAGATTTGCAAATATTGACCGACTGTTCCATGTTTACTTAAATTTTATAGCCCTTGGCATAGGTTGAGGCTGTTATCCGCAATAGCTTGAATTTTAGATTTGAAAATTAGTTCGATAAGGTAAAATGAGTCGGAAACGCGATCGACATTACATATGGAATGTCACGAAAGAGCAACTGACGCAGAGGAAATAGAGTAGCTACTGTTGTTGACGTTGTCACCTGTGAACGTTTTTTTCGCTCAAAACAACATTCCGTGACATAGATTTTTAAAACGAAACGAAGATACGAAATGATGTTTATATATATATGCACTCAGGAGTTTCAAATGAGCAATTTTCAGTTTCAGCGTTTCTAGTAGATAAAGTCATCATTCATGACAATTTAATTTGTTCTTGGAATACACAGATCTTATTTTAATAGAAGTTTAATCGTACTCCTGCAACCGTTGTACAAAAAGTGTTTTAATATGGCTTCGGCATATAGGGAAGGGGCAAACTGCAGAGAGGAAGGATTTCAAAGGTATACATTTCATTATGGCTTTCTCGGCTGTATAAACGTGTGCTGTTTTGGCATAACATAGCTACATAAAAGATGATAAAACTACGCCAGGCAACGTAGGCTAATATTTTAACATATACTGTACAGTATATTGCTACACTGTTTAGTAGGCATATCTAGACACCATTCAACGCCAAGTAACATATAATTATCACCCCATTCTAAAACAGTTGGTCCAACACACTACACAATTGTTTAATCATCATACTTGTCCTTTATTATTTAAGAAACGTGCGTATATATATATATATATATTGATTTTAAATTTACTTTTTGTAAAATAATTCTTCAACTCGCCTTCAAAATTTTGTCGTTCATTTTTTCTCCTTAATTAATTTATACACAGATTTCTGGACAGCATACAAGCACGTTCGGTTATGTATGGCAGCAATGAATTTTCTAGAGACAAATTAGACGATTTAACAATTGGAAAAGCATTACATGAATTTGAAAGATATTGGAAAGTCATCCCAGGAGGGAATGAAAGGCGAGTGGTTCCCTTTATTCATAATAAGTTCGGGTTTACATTTCAACCAAGTAAGAAATTTCTCCCCGCGGAGTTTTCGTTGTTTTCGGGGACGAAATACTGAAATATTGCTTCGTATTCGGTGTAATTTTACTGATAAGTATTGTGAGTATTCATGCATGCATTATACAATGCAAACACTGCAAGAGCCTGAGTGCGGCTTGCGCGTAGCGCTGGTTCCGAGTTTTCCTAAATTAAGTCAAACCATTTCAATGCCACAGAATTCACAAGACTGGTTTACCGATATTTCTCCAGAAACACTCCCTACCAATAAGTAAGCACAAGCACTAAGATAATTGGGGCTATACCGAATTGAACCGTCGAAGGGTGTTTTCGTATTGTGACGCTGGACTGATATTTTTAGTTTTATTGTTGTAAACTTCAACGTCCTTTATTCAGATTGTGTCACTGTTCATCACCCGTTATGGCTAAAATATTCTGAACGACTATATTTTATTTTACAGACTAGACTGGGTGTTAAAGGTACAAGTCAATCCTTTTTGGAAAGAAGATTACGAAGAGCGGATGCATTACATGCTGAATAACGCGCCAAAATTCTACTACCCTTACTAATAATACTGAGCATTTTATCCTGGCGTATGGTAGGATGGCTGCCTGTTCTGCAGTTTTATGATTTGTTTTTCATGTTTAATCGTATGCTGCATACTTACACTGTTAGCAATTAGTGAAATTTATATTGTGTGGGTAGTTTAAGGCTTAAGCCATTGTTTCAGATTCATTATTATTTCTTGATATAATATTTGCGAACATCCAGATGTATTATTTTAAAATACAAACGATATAAATATGTAACTACTGGGTATTCAGAATCACATTAAGAGTAGGGGTGTCTGATGTTCATACGGGCAGGACTGGAGAACCGCACCATTCATCGGAATAAAGCTAATCAATCATTTATTTTTGCTTCTCTGCCCAAAACATGACGACACTAGACACAAAAAATTCAAAACAGGTCAACAAGGTGCAGAGAAAATAATGAGTGTGAACATAGCTCTGGAATAAGGTCAAAAGCACACATGAATACGCGCTCCAACACCTGATAGAGAAAAAAACACTAATAAGTCTTGAAACATATAAACACGAATGCTAATCATTATCGACACGCGGACAGCCCTTGTGAAAACGTACGTGCGGAGTTCTGCCTTCAAAACAAACCAAGTGATCTACATTAACTTTGTGTTTCTGAAAGTTGCGGATTCCCTACATCAAATGCACATGGAGGCATGAGAAATAATTCTCAGGCTCGGCGGTGTGGCGCATCGTGCTAAGCGTTAGGAATACGCTGACCAGCGCTCATCTGATTACCCTGAATAGGTTTGCATCCCATTCGGGGATCGTTATGTGCGAGAGATTTGCTGGACTCGTCGCCGTAGGGTGATTCACGTAACAGCTGGTCGGTTACGGCTCCCTCCACCATCAAGTCCATAATTCTGCAAACAAATAACTGGCCGACTAATTCCACACCCAAGATGGACTGGTAATAACCGTACAAGAGGCCGTGGTTAGCCATATGATCAAGCCGTCTTATCGGCTTCCATTTCCCTTGGCATGAATATATAAAAATCCTATCCCATCTACATTAACTCTGTATTTTTGAATGTTTCGAATACCAGACACAAAATCACATAGGGGGTACTGAGAGCAAATTCAATACTGAAATAATACTCAAAAACCTTGTGAAAACAACATAACAATAATTAGTTTATGCAATATATCGTCATTTTAGATTCTTGAAATTTTTTCCTCGTGCGAGGTTGCAGACGGATTTTCTGGTATTGTCGCATTCAAAACTCACTTTAGCCTGGTGTCGGTCGCAAAGTCTATCAGATTCCACCGATATTCCCAGTGCTAGCCACATTGCCTAACAGCCCGAAATGATGCCCGCCATGTGCTGGAATACACAACGAAAATCTTCGAAATACGCAGTTGATACAGGTAACGTTATACCTGACAGGCCCTACCTAAATAAATGCAAACATTTCTAGACATTTATTATTAGTTCATTTGTAAGATAAATGTCAAAAGGAGAAATACTGGAGGAGGAAATCAGAATGCCGCCCAACAAAAGTTTCAGAAAAATAACTGTATAAAAATAAGGGCAAAGAAGTAACACAAGATAATCCACAATGCTAAAATTGTGACATATTGAACATGAATTTACAATGCCATCAAATAAACCAAAATAAAATACTATTGTTGTTGAGTAATAATCAGCTGTAGTTGAAATAGCAGTGATCTTCACCTTGTCTGTATTTGTGACGCACCATGTGACATACATTTGAATGTGAACAAAACAATAAAATTCCATTTCAAAACTCAAGTAAATGAACTGTTTTTAGGCATAATTACAATTGTATGTGATTTCAAGACTACTAAATTTCTCGCTTGATTTTCCAAACCGAATTTTTCTGCTCATGATTCAGCCTGAATAAAAAACCATCTGGCAATTTATAACATGTTAGCTTGACTTAAAGATTTTGTACCAAAGTTTTATTTGAGGTAGGATTTGCAATAATTGGAAGTATAAGGACGAGGATAGGAGATGATTGCACCTGGAACAAGGTATCCAAATATACTGGTACTATTTATGCTGTATTGCAATTCCGTTTGCCAAGCTATGGCAAACATTGCTTTGTTTATATTTCTACACTGGACCCAAATAACAGCTTGATCATTGAAAAACACTCTTCCAAGATATACCACCTTAAGATTCATTTTAAATCCTAAAATGGAAGCACCTATATAGGAATCCACATATTAACATGGTGTCAGTATTTCCAAGTGGTCAAGTGTGACACAAAAATTAAACATGCTCCAAAGATACAGTTCAGCAACAAACCATACTTAGTGTCACATAAATCGAATAATGCAAATAATCGGAATGAATACATTTTGAAAGGGCTTATTCAAAAGACTCTATAAAAATTGCTTGGTCAGATACGTTTTAACAGAATTTTTTAAATATAAGTGAAACAAGTGACATTCAAATCCAAATATTCAAAATGAATATAGTTATTTTCCAATTTGTAATAAGGTATAACATATTCAATATCTGCCCAAGCTAAAACAATAGTCTCTAAGCAAAATTTTTTCAACTTTGTAGTTTTCTCAGTATGAAAAAGTTATTTTAATTTTGAGGTAAGCATCATATAATTGATGAATTTCATCATAAGCATCATAAAACTGATGATAGTTGATAAGATAAAATAAAAGGGATGAGATAAAAAATATATTTTCGATAATTGATAGGATAGAAATATTTGTACTATGCAAGTAAATGCTATTATTCAATTCATTTAAGGGTGGGACTCTTGTAACGTAAACAAACTGGAAAAAAACCAGTCCACCCATTTAAGAGTTACATAGCTTCAATAAGAAGAGCATGTAAGCAGTGGCGGGATTCAGCCGGTTCGCACCGGTTCTATAGAACCGTCTCACAGAATTTTATGAGATCAGCGAACCGGTTAGCATTACTGGTTACTGTCAATGTTCTGGTTGTAACAGAACCGGCTGAAAAATATGACTTTGTGAAGGAACCAGATGACAAAAAAATTTGAATCCCACCACTACATGTAAGGATAACAAAACATTGAAAATTCAAATTTTCACAAAGTAGAATTGATCATTTTATTTGGAATTGATCTTTCGTTCAAAGAGTTGACAAAATAAAATGGAGATGTCGAAGTAGAGGCCAATATGGTTAAAATAAGTTCAGTGCAGTAAAAGTCACTTGCGACCAAGGCTGAGACTTTCACAGCTTCAGTTACCTTTTCTCAACAAGGTTATTTATATAACTCTTTGCCATCCATGACCCAGTAAACCTATATGAAACGATACCCAAACAAAAAAGCTAGGATATTACTAGTTAAGAAATATTTACAAAAATAAGAATATAAATATGGTCGATTTAATCATTTTTTTTAAGTTTCAAGTCTCCAAATGTGGAACCCACGTGTCCTAATTTTCCTCCCCAAAATGTTAAGACAAATTTAATTATTTGTGATATTTGAAAATGTTCTGGCAATTTCTGATTTTGAGTACCAGTTGAATTGTATAAGATATCAATACAATTCTATTGATAAAAAAGGAATATCTTTTCTAATAGAATGAATGTAATTTTAAAAATGTACTATAAAAAATAGTCAACATTGTTGAGTGTTATATATAAAATAAATAATAAAATTGCTCACAAAATTATATGATGTTAATCTTGGAAGTTTAAAAAAACGTTGGCAGTCTTGCACACAATAACTTGTATTGATAAAACAAATCCAGAGTAAATAAATTTGTCAAGTACATGCCACATATGGAAAGCTACTGAATGGATATAAAGAGCTCGAAAAGGAATGGCTGACAATTGTAATAAGATATTTCCAGATCTGATCTAGTTCATTTATTGAGATTTGATAGAAGACTGAATCATGTACGCTTCGTAGAATTTGAGGTACTCTCGAAGTGAACCAAGATGATGGGCACCGGAACGTAGTATGTGTACCAGGTTAGGGTTAGGCCATAATTTTATTCCAATTTTTTTTACTTTAGTTCTATTACGAGTTCGGGGACTAGCCAAGTGACTCCCGTAGTATTTGTACCTGAAATTATGGCCTAACCCCATCCCTGTACACATACTACATTCCGGTGTTCGCCATCTTGGTTCACATACTTCGGGAGTAACGAATTTGAAACCTATTACAAATGGAATAATAATATAATTTGGGAACATGATATGTCAAAATTTCATCCTTAAAAATAAAAGAGAACAAATTATTCAATACTAGTTCAAATCCCCATATTGGTGCTTCAAATCCCCATCAAAATATAAAAAGGGGTTCTAACAAAACGAAACAAAAAATAGTAATATAGGCATGCTGATAATCCACTATTGACATGAGTGTAGAACGTAAAATTTGACACATCCATTTCTGGAAATTTTGACAATGTTTTTTATATTGGAATACTCCATAATAACAGATCCAGAGAACAATTCAGCTGCATAGGACAAGCTCAGTAAATAACCTTGCAAAGTGCACTCTACATATATTTTACTGACTACACTCTATAAGTTTAAAACCCTTCATCTTAAATAAGAAAGCAATTTATGGATATATGAACATGAAAATACATTAACTATACCATCATGAAACCAATACTTCTTTGCAATTGATGGCAAAAAAATCTAAGTAGTCTTTGTTGGATTATCAGTAAGTGATGACGCAATTTTTAAAAATCAGCAACATTTGGGAAGAAACAAAAAATCCCTAACAAGACCAGAGAAAATTTAATGAGTATTTGATAAGGAACTCCCAATTTATTAATATTGGGATACAAATACTTTTACTTTAAAGCAGGGATGTGCAAACTGCAGACCGCAAAAAGAAATTGTGCAGCTCGGGAAAAAGTGTCAATTTTGAATGGTTTGCCTGTGAAACGAGATTTTAGTTTACCGGTAGTTAATCTGGAACATGCAAGAAATTAGCCAATTATATTATCTTTGTATCTCAAAGCCTATACCAGTACCTGAGTGCCACTGTCATATTAGCAAAACTAGCTGGCAAAATCAAAATAAATGCAAAATGTACAATGTTATAAAAACTTGTTTCTCACTGAATTCGTTTGAAGTCGGTGTGACAATAAATTTGAATAGCAGATTTCTTTATAAATCTACGTGTTTTAACCTACCATTTTTGCAAGGACCCCAAACATACAGTAATATATAGATATAAGACATAAAGAAACAATTACAGTAGTAATAAAGGTTGCACACCTCTGCTCTAAAGCATCGAGAGAATATCAATAAGTCACTGAGAAGATAAAAAAAATTCACAATTTCAAATAACACTAACATTTATCAAACCTCAACTTCATGTTAATCATTTTTATATATCATTTGCTTCATCCATGAAAAAACTATTTTATTACAAAAACTTGAATCAAAATAATATGCATACTATTTGAAGAATTTAAAAATTATATTCCAAGATAGAAAACTTGTGTAATGGGACAGTTTAATATTCCTTATATGTCATCATAATTTATGGTAAACCTTAAGATTCATACCTACTCTTGTAACATATATTAACGCAAATCGAATCATTTGAAATACGACCATAAATATCATAGATTTCAAACTATTTCAAGTTTTTCTTGAAATTGAAAGCCAGTAACACACCGGTATCAAGATACAGTACATTGTTACAATTCCCGTAATGGTCTTTTCTTACAGAACCTTTTCTTACTTGAATTGAAAAATAGCATTTGATAGTTTGATAGCAATTTCTATATTTTAATAAGAACTATCCATATTGTAAAAGTTATATTTGGGCAGAAAATGAAGGCATCACTTTTGTTAGAATATAGAAGAGCCTTCGTAAATGAATGTTGTGATATGATTCGCTGATTTATTTTAAAATTTTTTTTATTAAATGCCTTTTTCATGTGAAGTTTTACAGTGAAAAAAATTGCCAAATGTAACAATTTTGTTGTACTGTGGATCTATATAGAAAACATATTCATATTGAATTATAAAACTGGATTCCAAAACATCAAACCATCCATACATCGTTTCATTCAAATCCCAATTAGGATTCAATGTAAGGTAACTAGATTAATAACCCTGTCCACTGCATGATTCTCCACTTTACAATCATTACTCTCGAATAATTTAGTAGCGCAGATACACCTCGTTTCATGTAAGACATCAGCATTCTTAAAGTCATAAAATTACCAGTTTCCAATGCAATATTCCCAGTCCGAAATAAGATTGTGTCTTCTGAAAAGACTGCGAACGAAATTTATACACTCGATGTTGATCCACTAGTAGTTAATTACCGTTTGTTTGCTAATTTCCAACCGAACAAATCTTTTGTTGTTGACAAGTCTTGGCACAGTGAATTACCTACTGTATAATTTTTATCATACAATCTGGTAAAAAAAACAAAAAAGATGACCTGAAGTTGCTATGGTATCGTGCATTTTTCATGAATACTTACAAAAACTCTGGGTAGAAAAATTTCAACTCAGACTCCAAGCTAAAAAAATCACATTTTGAAAGCAAAAACTTTTGTGCATGGAAGTTTTTTTTAATAGACCAATGGTTCTCAAACTGTTCTCAAATTTTCAAAGGGGTATGAAGCTAATTGAAAATTAAAATATTTATTAGATTTGATCTCGCCCGCCTTATTTTGGATATTTACATTCACTTCACATATTTTCAACGTGTTTTTTTAATAAAACATACTTTTGCCTTACTATCTTAAAAAGTTTTTGAGAACCCCTGTAATAGACTGTAAAGAACGCTTGGTACAGTTTCTGTAGAGGATTTTAACTACTTTTGTCACTATTGAAAGTCTGCAATTTCTGACATCAACTACGCCGAGGGAGTTTGATAATAAAGACTCAGAATCAAGTGAAAACAAGATAGACCGACTCCACAGCCCTTCCACTGCACACAAAAATTTGAACTGACAGGCGTTCTCACTTGATTTATGGAATTTGCTGCCGTTCACAAAGCCAAGTGTATCATACATTACTACATACCTGGACGATTCATTCCAATCTTGGTCACGTTACAGTTGAATTTAATGAACTGAGCCACGTTGGTATAGGATGTTGAAGACCTTGTAATATTTGAACTAAACGTGTATTACTGTGTTCATAATATTCATCCAAATATCGACGACTCTGTAAAACAACAGAACGAAGATATCAACTGTTTTACTTGAGATTGTTCGAAGCGAAGTGGATAAGTGTCGCATAAAAATGGTTAGAAGCTTAATGAGACTTCATTTACTTACGTCTTCTGACATTTCAGGATATTTTCTACCTTTTGATTTCCCTAAACATTTGTTTCCACCATCCTGAATTTTACAGAAAAATCCTTTTCTTTCATCAAACCTAAAGAACAAAATATGTAGGATCAGCTGGTGGTTACTGTACTAAATCAGATCAATTTTTCAATAATTTATCAAGATAATTCATAGAAAGAATCATAAATTTAATAAACTAATTCAGCATATTGATTGTCCGAAATCTTAACAACTTTTTTCCAAGTTTCTTTACATGAACTATCGATGTAAACGTCCGATCAAATTGAACTTCATCAGTCAAGATATTTGTGAGCAAAGCAAGGATTCACAGCACAGTTGGCGATATTTGGAACAATTATTTCAATCCTGAGTTTGGCGCTCCAGAAGTATGTGTACCAATATAGAGGTAACTAATTTTGTTCACCTTTTTTACATTGTTGTGTAAAGGGACCAAAACCTATGGGCAGGGGGAATATTCACTTGGCTAACACAGACAGTCCCCAAACTTTTAATAGAACTAAAATAAGGAACATCGGGATAAAATTATCGCCTGACCCTAGACCTGGTACACACCCTACGAGAGTATCTAGAGTTAAATATAAAATCCTAACCCATTCAACAATACTAGTTATACTGAAAAAAACAATCCAATTCCTTTTACCTGATAGCTTCTGAATAATCAAAAATATTAGGAAGACCCAATGACTTTTGTAATCTTTGCAAGACTGTGATTGGATCCTTCACAAGTAGTTCACCATCTTCTAAGATAATTTGTCGAGCTGGTAAATATTCAGTCCATCTATCTATATGTTCCTCGTACTGTCCTGGTTTAAGACACCTTTTTTGCAATTGCAACAATGCTGTAGATGAACCTTTTCTTTTTGCTTTTATCACTTCGTCAAATGAATACTTTATAGCAGTTGGATCATCTTTGGACTTCATGTGCTAAAAAGAAAACGTCAATTATCAAAAATCTGGATCCAAATCTGTTGATGTTTGAAATTGTTCCTTATATGCATCATTCAACATTTTTTTCGTGCTTTACACTTTGGCTCAAAACAGGCTCTATATATCTATCCAATATTACAACATAAAACGTTCTATCATTTTGATAAATTTAAACAAATTTTACAGTTTTTTTATAGTATGGAAATACCTAACAACCAGTGTGTTCCATATATATTGTCTTGCAACCAATAACCAACACTAATTTTATCCATAACGTACCCAATTTTGAGTATAATTTAATAGTATTCTGTGAAATCACATTATCTCACGCACTTCATATAATGTTGAAAGTTTCTCAAGTTTGACAATAATTTTACTGTTCTTCTGTATAAAATTATCCATTCCACAGTAACATTTTAAATAATTCGCTGCTAGAATTTTACTTTTATTCAAATCATAAGACAGCTGCATAAAAGATACATTTATCATGCAAATATATATCCAAATTCAACTGTATAACAAACTATTCTGATGTGACTATATTTCTCAGTTATCATATTAAAAGCTGTGTTCACATTCACAATCAGCTCAGACTTGGTTAGGTATAAAAAAAAATTAGGCTCAGACTTTTGCTTGAAAAAAACTTTGACTTTAACTCCCGATTGCAGTTTAAAAAAAAATGCGGCTCCAACTCCAGCCTCGATGGAATCAAATTTTAAAAACCAAGGATTTGGCATACATAAGTCATCATTAATAGACTATTAAAAACACTTGGTAAAATTAATGCTTTTGTAGTTTTTAGTGGGATATTTTGACTTGCGTTGCGACTCAGATTCAGAATTTCGACCCCGACACCCAAGAGTTTGAAAACTTGATTCTGGCCCCAGTGACAACCTGCTAACCCTGACTGCAGATCCCTTCTCATATCAAATGTGAAGTTGAATTTTGCTATTTTATATTTATCAACAACGAAACCCACCTGATACCATGAATACGCTCTCTTCGCAGGATCGATCAGTAACACAATGATATGAGCTTTAGGTAACAATGCACTCAACCTTCTTGGCGCAATATCATTCTCAAAATAATTTGCACTTTTTTCATATAAGAATGTTTCTTCTTCCCTCGAAGGAATTGGAAAGAAATCCATGTACCTGTGAGGAATCATTGTTAAAATAATCTATTATGATCAATGTTATCAAAATGATAGGAGTTTGGATCATTTATAGTGGGGTGTGCAACCTCTAATACAAAATGGCAAGATATGAATAACTTAACTGGGTGAAACGGCAGACCACACCTTTATTTAACATAGGATTTCTAGCAGTTGCACTTGTGTTGTTAGCTTCGCACAAGCAAGCTGTCAGGGCATTGAAAGTCATAGGCATAGTTAATAAATTGGAATCAGGTATAGGCTTTGCGATGCAAATGAGTTGAAATTACTCCCATGTACCAGATTAAGTTAAGTTGAAAACACGTTTCGCAGGCCGCAAATCATTCAAAATTCACTTCTCTGCAGGCCGCACAATTTTTACTTGTGGGCCGCATTTGGCCCACGGGCCGCAGGTTGCACACTCCTGATTTATAGCATGAGTATGAACTAGATTTGAGCCGCAATGCCTTTTTATTAGGCATTGTTTTTTATTAGTGTTTTGTCAATATGATACTGCCGAAAATACAAAGTTATACTTTCTCCTAAGATACCAGATATTGGAATGCTTAGCTGAAAAATATGTCAATTTTCTGTCATACTGTAAGTTTATTTATGAGCATTTAAAATTATTTATCTAGTGTTATACGTGAATTATACATAAATAATCTAAATGAGTTGACATCTGAAGTATTGGTTAATTCATATGATATATCTAAAAGATAAAATGTGTTGCCGGTTTGTGGGTTGAAAAATCCCAGACCACCAATTATATATATCTTTAGACAAGAGTATTAACTATTAACTGCAAGCTTATCTCACTTAATAGATTAAAACACATTCAACCCAACTGCTCTCAAGGTCATTGACATTTATCATTCAGTTAAGTATTTCCGCAGATGCCAAACTTTTTCTGAATTTTTATATCCATAATAAATTTTATGTAACTATTTCAACGAGTAAATAGCACAAAAACAATTCTTATTCGGGATTCTATAATAAATTATTCTCAATGTGAACTGATTCAACATACCTAATCGTAGCATAACTTAAATAGGATTAGTAAGAAAACTTACCAATCCAAGCCTTTAAGGTAGTTATCGGTGTTGAAAAATTGAATTTCCTCAAATGTTTGAGGACTTGGCCTACTTGGTTGTAAATCAGGATGCATTTGGAGAAACCAATGTAATGCAGTTGTACCTGGATAATATATGTACGTACTACTATTAATGATATGTAAACAAAAAACAAAATACATTGGGGTGACAGTGTGCTTAAGATTTGATACAGTTTGTAGAATGTTGCAAGGCAATACCAAGCAGAAAAAATGGCTACATAATCATGAATACAAGGTACAACACTTACCGGATTTTTGTGGTCCCACAATGACAAATTTTGGAAGTTTATCGCAGGATTTTTCTTTTGACCAGATTTCCAGATGGCGTGGATCAGCACAGGGATTCTGTAAAAAGATTGAGGATGGTCTAGAAATTTTCAGCAACTACTTTACCATAGTTTTTTTAAATTTAGAATGGACAGAAATGTTTCAAGTGAAACTGACAAAGTCAAAATACTGTTACATTTCTACATATTACATTTCATACATTTGTTCCAAAAATTAATCTGTAAATATAAAGCTTGAAACCCAAATGAAAAAAATTTCAAAAAATTCCACTTTCGGTTTCACATCATAAAATATGCTATAATACAAAATTTACAAAATAAAACATTGTAACAACACTAAAAAACAAATATGGGCAACGTTTGAATCACGTCATAGAATGAACAAATGCCGAATGCCACTGATAATATAGTCAGAAGAGCACTGGAAATAAAAACAGGACATTTCTATTACAATTGTACACCAAACATGGGCGCAATGGCCTTCAAGCGGTATGTTTAGGTTACAAATCTTGGGTACCAACCCATGCCCACAACCTTACCCAGATAACGAGTGAAAAAGTCATTCATAAAAAAAATTAGGAACTTACTGTCCATATAGGATCAATTTCATCTGGATATTCATCAAAATATTTTTTAGCAAGTTCCGATGGTGGAACCTGTATCACTCTTAGATTGGTCCAACATTGAACAAACTCGATGGCTTTATCAAAAACATACAACGCAAGTCTGTCGTTTCCATAATTGGAGAAATGCGTCATGTAAATATTGTACTAAAAATAAAATTATTTATATATGTATATTGTTATTAAGTAAAAGTGAATTTGTAATCCTATTTATTTTAATAAAAAACCCAAATTATATCTTGAAGGCGAAACAGTTAGGGGTGCTAATATAATATTCACTGTTATAGGAACACATTATCCATCTTTTGACGTACAAATAAAAATGGTATTCAAAAACAAATATGGGCTGCAAATGAAATGTATATTTGGTATACAGTTGATATTGTGAATGCAGATTCTATTTCTTACATAATCTTTCTGGAAACAAATGAACACCTCAAAATATCAGATACCACTTGCTTACATTTGGATCAAGTATTTTACTATTTATCAAATATTGCTAAACACATTATTTCATATTACTGATACAACATTTTATTTGAATAAAAAAAATAAAGACATTGCAGCAAGGAATTAAAACTAATCCCTGATAGCAAAAATATTGGCATATGCAAGCCTTAAAGTTTTAGTACAACTTAATTCTGTTCTCGTTATAGTAAGAAGTTTTGACTTATTCTGTTACTTTTTTTCTACTTCAGGCCATCTACTTCTTCGCGTCTTAGTGACTGCTGAAGCATAAGCCCCATTCAAAGTGAAGAAAGGAAGAAACTCAAATTAAAAAGCAGAACATCCCCATACCAACCTTTTTGAATAAAAACGTCTGAAACAACAGACCTCCGTGGATCATTTCTTCAAGTTTTTCGCGTCCGCCGGGATATTTATCCAAATAATTTGTATGAGTAAAAAGACCACAAGTTTGTCGAGGTAGCACCTTAACATCAAATTAAATAAATCAAGATTTCTCTCCAGCTTGATAACCTTATGCATTAAAATTTTGCTAAAACAAGTCGGTAGCTCAGACTTAGATGATAAGAAAAGGGTACTTTAGCCAAAGAAGTTTCGGGCATGGGTAATTGCTAAATAACTCAGAAAGATAGAATAGATAAATCTTGTAAAAAGGTTAAGAAGTGAGTACTTTGGCCAAGACATAAAAAATCTTAATCCCAACAAAAGCATTATAATTTTTCTTTTTTCATTCGACTATTTTTACATTAGTAAAAAATAGGAATTGGTTTAAATTTATTTTATCATCAGTGGTCTAAAAATCTGGTTACTGAGATCCAATTATCTACATTTGCTCCGATTTTATTTCATTGACCAATCAGTCCAAATAAATCCAAATTAATGCACATAGCTATTTCCTATCAGTTGAATATTCATAAAATTTATTTCATCTCAACTTGAGTATATTGGATCTGGATGAATCAATTAACTATAAAATCAACAAATAATCTCAACTTGCAAATAAATTGGCAAATTTAACAAGAAAAATCTTATTTTTAAATACTGAGCAGTAAAAAAATTAAAGAGTATTAATATTATGTATAACAATGAATATCTAGTACATCCTATCCACTATACCTTGATATCTCTATATATAAATCCTCTTCTTTTATTATCAGGTCTCAAGTTTGGATATTCTTCTGTACTTGTTGTTTCAATATCCCATATTTCTTTCCAACACTCGTACAAAGGTTCATGAACAGGGAATATTCCAGAATGATGTGGTGCGACAGCATAGCGAGTTGACACATTGAATTTATGCCTCTAGAAAAAACATGGTGTAAATATTTGAATTAAATTGTAAGGCTATGTTACTGTAACATTGAGCACTACATACAAATTCATTGCAATATATATATAAATCCTTCCAATTGATGAAAAGATCCAGACCAGTGTTTCTCAAACGATGGAGCGCAGACAATTTTTTGAGATTAGATCTTGCTTGCCTTATTTTGGATATTTACATTACTTTATTGTTCAGAGATTGCAGACAGCTATCTTTATTATCATTAGCGTGGAGCATGTTTAAGACTTCAACTTAATATGCTTCCGTCTGTATATCTGTTATTTATAGCTTATCCTTAGCTAGTTATTTTAAGGGGACGCCTCCTAAAAATTTGAAAACCACTGATCTAAGCAGATCAAATCCAAATGCTGGATTAGATACACATTGGAAGCTCTCCCTCATTAATATTTATTACACTTTTATTGTTTGACTCAAATTATCCAACCAGCGATGGCCATTATAATCTACTATATTCAATATATACTTCAATTTCTCAAAGGTATAATTTTACAAATGAAAATATTTCAAAATATTCTTAAAATCAAGAACTGAATGTATTAAGTCTTTAATTACGAATCAATTTGAATATTTGATTACCAGACTTCCGATTTTGCACCTCACTGTGTGCAACCATCATAAAAGTTATTTGCCTGATGTAATTCAACCTACCTCAGCAAATTGTTTGTTTGGTATCATGTAAGAACACATTGAGGTTTTATTGTTGAACAAGTGAGCTTGCATATGAGACCACATATGTGGAAACCATAAAAAGTTATGACTTTCTCGTAGAAACGTGGCATCTCCTTCGTTCTCTTTTGGATTACCTGAAAATTTAAAAACTATGTTAATTAGCTGCCATTCGACATAAATTCTGTAAGATAAGAATTGTAAAAGATGCCAAATCAAAGCCATCTTTAAAATATAAGTCCTGATATATTATATTGCAAGTTGGAAAATGCACACTAAATCAAGCGATTTGATATCTCTTCATTACTGTCTACCTTTCTGATAAAATTTTCCAGTAAATCCAAGTAAAAAATTGAATCCTTGAATTCTTTTCCTCATATCCTTTTGAAACTTTACTAATTCCTGCAAAGATATAAAACATAGTTTATTTGTAAGCATGCCTATTGTCATCATAAACAAACATGAAAACAATTATTAGAAGTAAAGTCATAGTATAGTCAGAGATGGTCAAAATCAAATATTTCACTATTCCGAATACATTCTGAGAAAATATTTCCAAATATGGAATTTTTATTCATTCTAAAGTGGAGGAAACTTACGGTAATGTGGACAATTACATAAATAATCTCCGGTTCCCGGTATAACTTCAAATTGGTTTCCCTGTGTTGTTTGATACAAATAAGAATATTGTATTTTTTTGATCTGCTTGTTCATTGGCTTAAAATTCTTGAGTTGATGAAAGATTTTAATTTAGTCCCAAATTCAAGTATTCACTATATTGAATACGATGATTCAATGAACTTTGAATCTATTCGAATATTCCATTCGTTTTGGACATCCCTGGTCATAACTCAAGTGAAAAATAAAATAAAGTTGATTGGAACATAAAACAGACAAACAATTTCCTTACCATAACATCCTCTTCCGTCATTCTTGTATCAACCGCACTGACAAAAATATCATCGATATCAATCTGAATATATCTTTCCAATGGTAGAGATAGTTTCCCATGTGAAAGGTAACTCAGTGCATCCATAAATAGAATCCTGAAAAACATTCATTGTTTAGCATTACGCTAATTAACACTTACGCTAGCATTAACACTTTTTTAATTCCACAGACACAACTGAAAGTAGTACTGTCAATGTACATTTTATCACACGCCTAAAAATATTTTTGGATGGAGAATTCCCGAAAGTTCAAAAAACACAATTCATTATAATATCTGTAAAACAAGCGCAGCGATGCATCATTACATCAGTGAGGAAGAGTTTGCAGTTTACTTGAATAGAAGCCTTTGTTTGCCCACGATCTGCATGCCACAGAATCGTCAAATGAAATCTATATTCAAGGTATCATCAGATTTTGGCATAAAATGGCACTGAAGCAGTGTTTCCCCACCCGAATCCGCGGAGCGTTTGAATGAGTCCTCAATGGGCAATACTCTCTTAGAAAACGTTATGCAGTTGTATAGTTCATGTAAGTCACTAACCTTTTTATTGTCGCGGGAAGCCGTAACCTTAGTTTGGCAACTTTTTTTTAGTTTTAAACTGGGTTCATATGCGAGGATGTACGGTAATTGGTGTTTCTCGCACGTGTGAATGACGAAGAATATTTTTTTTCTGGGAGATGTCAATAGTGGCTCAGGTTCGTGGGACATATCGGATTAAACTGACTTCGTTAAAATTCTGTTGTGTTCGATTTTATTGTTTCTTCAAATAGAGTTCGGTTACAATTAACGCACCTTGAGTCCGCAAAGATTTTCGCTGGTGAGAAAATAGTACACGGCCAAAAAAGGTTGGGAAACGCTGCACTATTCTGTGTTAGGGCTTAGAGATCACTAGGGCTGTCCAAGCGAACCGAATATTCGAAATCGAATCGAATCGCAAATTATTCGAAGCGTTTTCCGGCCAATTTACGAATCGCTAAAATTTGGTACATAATGCGCCTCACGACCACCTTTGCACCGTGTTTTCACCGGGCAAGTAAAAACATGTTTCTATCGCTTTCTTTGCTGTGAATAAAGGTCTCTCCTATTGCCCGGTGACATGTAATTATCCATTTCGTGTATGGTCATATATGAAAAGTTATCGGTAACAATGATTTACAGATGACGTTTTTTGAGAGAACACAAGGAGGAAAAAGCAAATTTTGTGTCAGCAAAAACGCCAGTTCTATAAATAAAATCGATTTGTAGCTGTTGAGTCAGTAATCATAGGAACATGGTACAGGACTGAAACACGTTTAGGAGGTCCAATACATTTTTTCAATAGAATTTGTAATTTCTTCAAATGACAATACTTTGTTTTATCCATTTATTACTATGACAAATAATTGCACTCTTGTGAGTTGATGGCTGTTGTACAGCAACAATATGGTCATCAAATAATAATGTCATCAAACTAGCTCTGAATTTTTGAGTTTCCGAAATGCAATTTTGAATTTTTTGGGCAACAGTTATATCTATATTAATAGTTGTTTGTCATTTTACTGAAAATTACACAAAAAATATTGAGTAAATAATACTAATGATAATAGGATTAAAATAGCAACTACGGACATTAAAAGAGTCTGTGCAATTTCCACCTCTTGAAACTTGAAAGTTTTCGAAATCCTAATTTCCTGACCAGTTCAAGGAGGCTTGTGATGTATGCAAAATATTTGCAATAATTTAGATATAACTGCACATACGTTATCTAGAGCTCGACCGATATCACTTTTTGACGCCGATACCGATATCGATATATCGGCCAACTGGTGGCCGATAACCGATATCGCCATGCCGATATTATTAAAAATCATATTTTGAGCCACGCTTTTATGATGCACCTTGTGAGTCTGTAGTTTCATTTTGATATTTGTTATCATGGCAGTAAGACTTTTATTTAACTAACTTTAGTTGATGCTTGAACAAATGTTATTCTGTAACTTTTCCTGCTACTTCAATATCAGTCTTGCTATTTCCAGGAAAAAGAATTGTTAATCAGACGTTTTTAAATATAACTATGGACATATGTTAAGGGTATTAAAAAATTATAAATTGATATATTTTAAAGTGAATCGTGATAATGATCCTTCGATATTGTGATAGCATTTATGTGCAGTTACATGTGAAATTTTTAATAACTTTGTTTCCAGAGTCTCTCAATACCTTATTTAGTCAATAACAATGGATTAGGTTTTTATTTTGTAATTTTCAGCAAAATGATAAGCAACCATCAATATAGACAAAACTGTTACCCCAGAAATTCAAAATTGAATTTGGGGAGGTCACAAATTCGGAACTGACATTATTGCTATGAGCTACCTGTACCATGTTTCTATGATTACTAACTCACCAGCTTCCAATCGATTCTATTTATAGAACCACCGTTTATGCTGTTATCACAATATTGAAGAGGAAGTTTTTATTGTACATTAAAGACAAATTCAGGATTGCGCAATAATATTCGATTATTCGGTTCGATTCGAGAAAAATATTCGGTTCGATTCGAATCAAAAAAATATTCGATTTTGTACATCCCTAGAGATCACATCACAAAAATTAAGCCAAATTCTTACTTGTTAAGCCAGAAAGAAAGATTGTTTCCAAAGAAAACTCGCTGAATTTGGTCATACTTTCCCCGATCTAATAAAACAGTTGGAAAAGTATCAATCTCTGCATTAGTGCTTGTAGTGTCAATCACCTGTAAAATGCATGTATTTATTTTACCTCTGTAATATGGCAATAACAAAAAAAGGAAATGAATTGGATAGAAAAGTTAATAAATATATAGGCTATATACACAGGATTATATGGGCATGAAACATAAAGCAAGAGTCTAGTAATATATTGTGAGAGTCAACGATTAATTAATCTTTAAAAACCCAAGAAACCTATCAATTCGAGGATGCAATTACTAAATTTCATTCTGACAAGGGCCATTAAGACCGTCGGTGGATTGTTGCAAATTAGCGTTGGAGTGGCCCATATAAATTCGGCAGTGGTCTCACTTTTTTCAATGACATCTTTTATAAATCGTTGTTAGGAGTGAATGTATATATGCCCAAATGCCTCATAAATAATATATTTATCATTATAAACGCGTTCATGGTACCATACTACAGATACACAAATATTTCAACACATCATGAAAAATAACTATGTATGTTCAATGCTCAATACAAATGACTCCAATTGGAGATACTTTAACAAATTATTCAAATAGCAACAAGTAATAATCAAATAATGCCAAACCTTAGTTTTCTGTTTTTCCATCTTCCTGGTAAAAAAATCAAAGCTGAAGTAACTGTTCAAATCTCTTTTCTTTCTTGTCAATGTACTGAAAAAAAAATGAAAAACATGAATAGTTTATAGTAATTGAGAACACCAATTCGACACATGCTTGTATAAGAAATGAAGATGCGACAAACTCTAACCCTGTGAATAACAACATTTTCAAATATTTGATGAGCATTTATATTTAGCCTAATTTTCAAATATTTTCATTTGTGATCATACCCAACAGAGCTAGTAGTCATTTGCTCTTTTTTCACTCCAAATGAAGATTAGTACAATGCAAACAAACAATGGTTATTTTCTGATGTTTCAAATATTTAATACGGTATAAAACAGCATTCACACAAGAAAAATTTTCTTGGACAGGTACGATTCTTTTGCAAATACAAAAGAGCAATGCTGACACGGAGGCAAAAAGGGAGTGGTATCAAATCTTTCATAGTACCGGCAGTCTACCTGAACAATAAACACCAGACTTCGCTGAGCACCCCATCGCTGAAATGCAATCGCGATATCTCCACATGGTGCACAATTTTTAATTTAAAAATTATACAATACGATCCATAGGTTCACATTGTTTTCAACAAGATTGTTACAGTACATCAAATTTGTCATTTATTAATGACTCTATGAAACCCAAATGAGTCAAAACAATTTGGCCTCTTGTTTTAGCATCATGACTCATTTTGTTGAAATATAAAATTTTGGGTGCTCCCGTAGTATGTACAAGATGATGGACACCTGAATATAGTATGTGTATCAGGTTAGGGTTAGGCCACAATTTTATTCCAATTTTCCTTATTTTAGTTCTTTTATGAGTTCGGAACTAGCGGAGTGACTCCTGTAGTATTTGTACCGGAAAATATTGCCTAACCCTAACCTGGTATACATACTATGTTCCGGTGTCCGCCATCTTGTTGCACATATTACGGAAGTACCAAATTTTAACCCATCTTTTCTGTGTTGCATGGGAGATTGCAATGCTATCTTTTACATTATCAATATTAAATTTTTCGTTTCGTAAAAGTAAATTTACCCTATGATTATATTCAACTTGGTTCAAGAGAGACAACACAAATATTTAATATGGTCATAAATAGTGTTGCAGTCATTCACTATTTCACGATCACTTACAGTATAACATGTCACGATCCATGATGATAGATATCGGTTACGATCAAATATTTTTTCAGAACCTCTGTGTTTGTGTTATGCATGAGCTATCTATTTGCCTACGCGTGACAGACAAGAGTGTGCCACCATCAGATATGGCCAAAATCGAATATAGTCGCTTACTTTCGCGAATACTTTCTGAAATATTACTTTTTGATACATAATATAGAATACTTACTATCAATTTACTACTACTATCTACTATTTACCCACTACTATCAATTACGTCATGTTTTATTGAAAAATTAACCTAATGATCTGGTGTCCCTGGGTCACTTTGACACCCCTCTATAATTTTTTTAATATTTCACCAACCAAAAATGCCAAAAACATCATCAATGTGTCCTTAAAAAGCTTATTTTCGTCGCTTTCCACTAAAACGCGCCCAAATTACGTAGCGCAAGTGTGTACGGCCGTATGCCGGTAAGAAGAGAGAAATTTCAAAAAATTTCGAGAAAAAGTTTCTCACTTTTAACGCTGTGGTCGACACATGATTGATATGCGAGAGAAAGAGTTCTCTTTTAGAAGAGCTTTACGTCACCTTCAAAATAAAACAAGACTGGGATTTGTAAGTGAAGTGATATTCGTTTTATCGAAGAGCATTTGATCGCGTGCTGTCTGGTATCTTTGTTTGTTTATTATGAGCCGGAGAACGTTGCTCGCGTGTTCAAAATACTTCGTTTTCAACTATTCTCTTTGTTCATTTTTAAGCTTTGAAATACTCATACAAATAAAATTGACCTTGTTGCAAAATAAAAATTATACATAAAAAAAATATGATGACGTCACCGTAATTAAGAACACTCGGATCAAGCATGGATAATTTAAACTCAAACATTTTGAGTTTTGAAATTGGTTTTGTTCACATGCAGACCACTATGAAATACTATTGACCCCCCAAAATAGATTTAATTTAGCCATAATCCCAAATTATGACACAGATTAGCCATTTATGAGCGGGCCGATCCTTTAGCAGAAATCAATGTATATCCCTAGGAATTAGATTGAATAATGCAGAATACTTAAGACAAACTGTGTCGAAATCAAAAGTGAGAATTATAAATGATATTAACAAATGAAAGGATCCAAATGTCTATTCTTCAACCATGGTCACGAATGGAAACTTGTCTAAACTGCACAGCCATCATTCGAATATTCACATTTTATTAATTACAGTACATAACGTTTATTATAAGTGTTATCGATTTCGAACTTGACTGATTGATTCATCATATTCACGATATGTCATTAGCTGTTTAGTCTATGTTCAGTTGCATGATTTATTACCGACAACATGTAATGATACAAGAAAATTGCATTAGTTTTTATTTCATAATAATGTCAAAGAAAAATTAGAATTGCAAATCGAGAAAATAACTGACTTTATTAATTGCTCAAATTTTGACAACATGTTGGGTGAGATTATCAATATTTTTGAACATGAGAAAAGCACAACATGAACATGTTCGACCTGCATATAATCAAAATATTGCTGTAACCTAAAAATATGTATTTACGGTAATATTAAGTTTAATTTAACTTTAAAAGAACTAACTCGAGAAAAATGAAAAACTACTTACTCCTGCTTTGGCTTTCTTCTCTCTCTTGGAAATAATCTTCTTGATTGACGTCCATCAGGATCATATAGCGCTGCTGATGTCACAATTTCATATGTACTATGATTCGTATTGAAAATTGTCCAAGAACGACCAATTCGACCAGAAACCTTCAAATAGAGCGAAAAATAATTCAAGGGTACTGCTACACTTCAACCTTTACGTATTTCTGTGAAGTATCCTTCGATCAAAGTCAGGCTTCGCCAGACAAACAACTTAACAATGACTAAATATATTTCATATTATTTTGTATATATCTTGGAAGCAATTCATTTAAAGACTGACCAGCTAAATCAATTAGAAAGAAAAAATAATAAAAAGTGTGCAAAGAAATTACGCTTCAAATTGAATTTAACGCACTATTCAAGTGGAAAAGACCAAAGTAGAATAGTAGAAAACAAAAATAGTAACTAATAACTAATCTTCGACTTGGAAGAAAACTAAGAATGTGCGACCTGGGAGCTGCGACAAGTGCAAGTATATTTAGTGGCCTGCTTGAAATGTAATGTATTTCAGGCTGAATAAATATGGAAGCAATTACTTTCTCATCGACTAATTAATGATTGTACTTTTTATGGTTCAAGACTTTAAATATATAAATAAAAAAAGGGCATCCTGTGCACAAATGGTAGATCAGCCCTCCTAAGCTACCGCACTGGACTGTTTGGACGACATTATTTGAATAAATAAAATTGCTAACAGCAAAATAGCAATTGCAGCAGAGACATTCTTTATTTGAATAAATATTTATAAACGCTGCCATAAATTAAACACACTTTTCCTTTAAAGAAAATTACGTCAATGAGTTCTTATTGTTATGTTCTATTTGTCTTGTCATTTTGAATGGCTGTTACCTGTTATTAATATTTTCATTTCTTTGCCATAGAAATTGCTCAAAGCAAGGTCACGTGAACTCACTCAGAAATAAAGGAAAATCATCGCTCAGAAAAGTTACAGTTGAGCTACTTAAACTATATAGATTTATTGTGGTAAAATATGTACCAAGAAATGCTGATTGATTGAGATTAAGAATGCCAATTTCCAATAGCAGTCATCACCAAATTAATAGTTTATACGAGTTGTTGTTGTTTTTTAATTAAAGGTATGAAGATGTATATTGTAATTTACGAACCACAAGTTGCACTTTAAATCCTTTTTATTTCTCAAAAATCAATTGTGCGCTTTTAAGATAGTGCTTGTAATGGATCAGGTAATGTATTACGCTTTACGCCCACACTCAAAACCTTTACCAGTGCTGGTTGCATCTTATAGTCGGGTGCACCATATGGCAGATAATGGATGTCTAGGCAACTTATTGACACAGCGGATAATAAAGCCCATTGCGCCTTATGGTCTATGAAATACAGTAATTGGCCCACCATGCTGAAATGTTGAACATTCCAGTTATCAATTTACTTACAATTTCACCAGCCCTTGTTACTCTCAATATTTTTGATTCTGGATTTATCTCACAATCCTTCATATAAACATTTGTGCTGTAGTTGAGTGGAAAATTTCCAATCTGAAACAGATCAGGAAATGGTTCAATCATAACTTGAAGACGAAGTTACAAGCAAGAAATTCTGGTACCTTCAATAACCAATCAAGTTTCAAGAAACAGTATTACTGTAAACGATATATTGAATAGTTAAACATTGACGAGCATACAAATCCTTATCAGCAGGTTACCAGTAAAAGAAGATAAATCATAAAAATAAAAGATCTTCATATCAATACACAATCATGTTTGTCAATTATATAAGGCACCCACATAAATTAAATGATGCCAATAATATGTGCCAAAAGGGTTATTTATATTTCTAATACTTGGGTTTAGGAAAGAATATACTTACAAACAAACCCCTTAAACATCCATTTAAGAATTTTTATAAATTTAGTGTTTTAATGATTCAATGATATTATACTTTCCTATACTTTTCAAACTATCTTGTACGATATATAATTTCGTGTGACTCTGGTTTTGGTATTCAAAAATTTATCAAGAAACACTAATTTATTGGGTTTGTTTGCAACAAATTCTTTATTCTTTACTGACTTGCAGCAACCTATACTTAGATGATGTTAGATCAATTCTAAGTAGGTTGCGAAATTTTAGTGTTCCTCTGATTCAAAGGTCAAGCAAGTGGGTGTAGACTTCCTTGGGAGTGAATTAATTTAAAACAAATATTCTTATTAACGGTAATGACATAAAACGCCATCAACTCACCTGTTGATTATCCAAAGTTTTTACAGACCTATTTTTTTCAGATAAAGCAAACAAAATAACGCCGACATCATATTCAACACAATATTTATCTAAAATTTCTCTATTCCATTGATTCAATTGCAAATAAATATCAATATCTTCGAAGATAATCGCCGCGTATCGACCCTAGAAAATGAATACATAACATTATAGTGAATGATATACAATAATTTTATTTCAATTATAATATTAAAAAAAGTTTCAAATTGCCCTATTTAAGCTCAATCTATATTTTATGCATGACTAGAAATATATAAAATAAGAAGAGATATGTTTGAATCCTCAAAACACATTCTAGGATGGTACAATTATGATGACTTGTGGTGTCATTTTCAATGATAACGACCTATTAACATTTCTGTCAATTTAAACTACTTAGGTATATTTCACATGCAAAATCACAAAATAACGATAATATTCTATTTCAGCCACAATAAATTGATAACCAGAACCGAATCACTAAATAACCAGTAAAAAACACCCGGTCGTGGGTGTAATTGTGAAAGGTGTATAGGATTTAGATATTTATCTTATGAGAAAATCTGTATTCAAAAAATTATAATTTACAAGGAACTCTGTGGCATTCAAAAAGTCTTTTCTCTGTAAATTTATCATGTCACATAATTATGTCATATTTTATCAACCAAAATTGCCACATCACTACGATTTTTTTTAAAAACAAACAAATTCAGATTATACCATAACACTGCAAATCATTTGGAAATGAACATGTCTGGCTTTGACTTAGACTAGACAATAAATGACTTAAATTGGTATATACATAACAGGCAAGAAACAAACCTTATTATTATCTATTAATGCAGGTAAATTCCTGATTGTACCATATTGAGTATGATATTTTAATCTTGTTGCTTGTAATAAATAAAGAATTTGTTTCCCACTCTGCAATAAATATGAAGATAATTTATTAAAAGGTTCCGGTACAGTTTACTCCTCCTTCAATAATGGTGTAACAAACAGAGGAATTGGTCTAGAAAATTCAAAATTTAGAAATATTCTATAAGCCGGTACAGAATAGAAATTATATCATACTTCAGCTTCAGGTCAAATTTGCATGCATTGCAACCTATTTAATAAATTCAAAAATAAGCCGGTAGGACAGTTTAACCATGTGGCGAACCACGGCCTCTCGTCAGGTTACCACTCCATGTCGGGTATGGGATTAGTTAGTTATTTGTTTTCGGAAGCATGGGCCACAACGACGCACATTCTAAATAATTGGTCATTCTAAAATATTACCTGAAAGGATAAAAAGAATTTTCCAACATTATATTCAAAATTTGATCATCAATCAAAGAACACAGGAATGAATACATTAAACATAAATAAAATCAATTTATTAATGTTGTTTATTTAATCAATTAATAATAACAGTTTGAGTTTCCTGAAATACAAATAATTCACTTTTTTATTGATAACCAACACTGTAAATTTCTAATGTATAATTAATTGATTAATCAATAAAGAATTTCCCCACATCTGTTTTTTATAATAAACTTGCAAACCTGGGATGATCCATCTTGTAAAACACAAGAGCATGTTGTCTTGTACGCGAATTCACAAATGATTTTGACTCTGAAAATGTTCTAGCTTCGCCCTGTAAAGATTTATATCAAATATAAATATCTTGGATAGGAATATTCGAAGACGCTTGAACACTGGGAGTGAGCTTCCACTAGTATAAAATATTTAAAAACAATTGGTTCCCCCGGAAATCTGAATGATTTGGAAAATCTGAAATCAATTGACTCATAGTTCAAAAAAAAGGACTTTTGTCATAATTAACAACAGGAATTCTACCAAAAACTGTAACAAGCTAGTAAATGGTCTATATGGCCAATTGAAAAAAACACTCACACAAATGTTCACACAATTATCTGATAACGAGTCAAATTTTCAAACACCCCAGAAATAAGATGAGCATGAAATAAGATGAAGCAAAAATTAATGTTTTAATGCAAAATTTAGCCAATATTTGTCTGACTATAATCAAATGGAGTTAAAAAATTCAAATTACAGATCTCATTCCATGATGACAAAGTTTTTGATCAAAATCCTTTTCAACATTCTGTTCAGACTTTTTTATGGTCGATTGTTCAGATGAATTCTTCCAAAAAAAATACGCAGCAAGTACCAATCCAAGAAAAAAGAGAAGTTGAGTCACTTTTTTCAAACTTCCTAACTTTCTCCGTTTAAACCCACATCATTGCCTTGTAAACTTCGTACATTGCCTTGTGACTCAATAAAGTAATATGATTAACTTACGCTGTAGTTACAGTACAGCATTAATTGAAGTGTATAATAACAATGATAATAAGTGCTATTCGCATGCTTTATTCTCAGATTTTAGATAGTTACGGTATTTCATTAACGCCTGATTTGATAATATTTCATCATGTTTTGGTAATTATATTCTATGTCATGGGGTGAGGTACGGTATGACTGTATGGCCTAGCCCTAGATTATTTTTCAGTTGGCTGTAGCCAGGTCAGCAGGTACCGTAGCTGACTCTGATCTGCTGGTCCGAGTCTCTGAAGGCCTCACGGTCGCTTGGTTACTGGTACAGCCTGGTCGAAATGTCTTTATACTGTTATATGACGAACTATTTTTCATTTATCACGAAACGAATATACTGCTGATATTAATTCGGTACCGGTAGGCTGTAGGCCTAATTCGTATTACAGTACGGCACCGTCACTATGGCTTCCGGGCTATGCACGGTACCGGTACGGTACCGTATGCTTGCTTATGCCGGTTATTGGCACTATCGCGACCGGGGACGCATCAATAATAAATTTCATTCACGATTCCTGCCAGATGTCAGTTTTTAAATTTTGGGTCGTCTTTGGTGCGATTTATCATCACACACAAAAATAAAACGTTATCAGTAGCACCAATGACATAAAACAACATGATGCGCAACACCGCTGTGAAGCTAGTAGAATTTGACCTTTGTGTGCGGCGAGGCGAAAAGGTTAAAATTCTTGGCAGAATTGTAGGCGTGTCATTATTTACAACTGAAAAAATGTAGACAGGTAAAATTAACATAACAAAAAAGGAAAGATATTTATTAAATAAAACTAAAATTACCATTTACAAAGCAAAAGCATTAATTGCTTGATAAAATAAGCATAATAAATAGTTAGCAACTAATTTTTTATAAATATCCCGTGTTGATTATGCCTTTATTCATCAAAATTACGTAAAGCGAAAACGGGTTAAATTTTGCAATTTTCAAATGTTAATAGAAATATGTTCCGCTCAAGAGGCACGCGATTTTATAATTTCATATCAAAGTAGAATATATTAAGTTTATCACACACATTGAACCTAAAACTACTCGAACTTAGAAAAGGGAGTACTCCCCTGTTGAAGATACCCCTTTTCATCAAAATTACGTAAAGCGAAAAAGGGTTAAATTTTGCAATTTTCAAATGTTAATAGAAATATGTTCCGCTCAAGAGGCACGCGATTTTATAATTTCATATCAAAGTAGAATATATTAAGTTTATCACACACATTGAACCTAAAACTACTCGAACTTAGAAAAGGGAGTACTCCCCTGTTGAAGATACCCCTTTTCATCAAAATTACGTAAAGCGAAAAAGGGTTAAATTTTGCAATTTTCAAATGTTAATAGAAATATGTTCCGCTCAAGAGGCACGCGATTTTATAATTTCATATCAAAGTAGAATATATTAAGTTTATCACACACATTGAACCTAAAACTACTCGAACTTAGAAAAGGGAGTACTCCCCTGTTGAAGATACCCCTTTTCATCAAAATTACGTAAAGCGAAAAAGGGTTAAATTTTGCAATTTTCAAATGTTAATAGAAATATGTTCCGCTCAAGAGGCACGCGATTTTATAATTTCATATCAAAGTAGAATATATTAAGTTTATCACACACATTGAACCTAAAACTACTCGAACTTAGAAAAGGGAGTACTCCCCTGTTGAAGATACCCCTTTTCATCAAAATTACGTAAAGCGAAAAAGGGTTAAATTTTGCAATTTTCAAATGTTAATAGAAATATGTTCCGCTCAAGAGGCACGCGATTTTATAATTTCATATCAAAGTAGAATATATTAAGTTTATCACACACATTGAACCTAAAACTACTCGAACTTAGAAAAGGGAGTACTCCCCTGTTGAAGATACCCCTTTTCATCAAAATTACGTAAAGCGAAAAAGGGTTAAATTTTGCAATTTTCAAATGTTAATAGAAATATGTTCCGCTCAAGAGGCACGCGATTTTATAATTTCATATCAAAGTAGAATATATTAAGTTTATCACACACATTGAACCTAAAACTACTCGAACTTAGAAAAGGGAGTACTCCCCTGTTGAAGATACCCCTTTTCATCAAAATTACGTAAAGCGAAAAAGGGTTAAATTTTGCAATTTTCAAATGTTAATAGAAATATGTTCCGCTCAAGAGGCACGCGATTTTATAATTTCATATCAAAGTAGAATATATTAAGTTTATCACACACATTGAACCTAAAACTACTCGAACTTAGAAAAGGGAGTACTCCCCTGTTGAAGATACCCCTTTTCATCAAAATTACGTAAAGCGAAAAAGGGTTAAATTTTGCAATTTTCAAATGTTAATAGAAATATGTTCCGCTCAAGAGGCACGCGATTTTATAATTTCATATCAAAGTAGAATATATTAAGTTTATCACACACATTGAACCTAAAACTACTCGAACTTAGAAAAGGGAGTACTCCCCTGTTGAAGATACCCCTTTTCATCAAAATTACGTAAAGCGAAAAAGGGTTAAATTTTGCAATTTTCAAATGTTAATAGAAATATGTTCCGCTCAAGAGGCACGCGATTTTATAATTTCATATCAAAGTAGAATATATTAAGTTTATCACACACATTGAACCTAAAACTACTCGAACTTAGAAAAGGGAGTACTCCCCTGTTGAAGATACCCCTTTTCATCAAAATTACGTAAAGCGAAAAAGGGTTAAATTTTGCAATTTTCAAATGTTAATAGAAATATGTTCCGCTCAAGAGGCACGCGATTTTATAATTTCATATCAAAGTAGAATATATTAAGTTTATCACACACATTGAACCTAAAACTACTCGAACTTAGAAAAGGGAGTACTCCCCTGTTGAAGATACCCCTTTTCATCAAAATTACGTAAAGCGAAAAAGGGTTAAATTTTGCAATTTTCAAATGTTAATAGAAATATGTTCCGCTCAAGAGGCACGCGATTTTATAATTTCATATCAAAGTAGAATATATTAAGTTTATCACACACATTGAACCTAAAACTACTCGAACTTAGAAAAGGGAGTACTCCCCTGTTGAAGATACCCCTTTTCATCAAAATTACGTAAAGCGAAAAAGGGTTAAATTTTGCAATTTTCAAATGTTAATAGAAATATGTTCCGCTCAAGAGGCACGCGATTTTATAATTTCATATCAAAGTAGAATATATTAAGTTTATCACACACATTGAACCTAAAACTACTCGAACTTAGAAAAGGGAGTACTCCCCTGTTGAAGATACCCCTTTTCATCAAAATTACGTAAAGCGAAAAAGGGTTAAATTTTGCAATTTTCAAATGTTAATAGAAATATGTTCCGCTCAAGAGGCACGCGATTTTATAATTTCATATCAAAGTAGAATATATTAAGTTTATCACACACATTGAACCTAAAACTACTCGAACTTAGAAAAGGGAGTACTCCCCTGTTGAAGATACCCCTTTTCATCAAAATTACGTAAAGCGAAAAAGGGTTAAATTTTGCAATTTTCAAATGTTAATAGAAATATGTTCCGCTCAAGAGGCACGCGATTTTATAATTTCATATCAAAGTAGAATATATTAAGTTTATCACACACATTGAACCTAAAACTACTCGAACTTAGAAAAGGGAGTACTCCCCTGTTGAAGATACCCCTTTTCATCAAAATTACGTAAAGCGAAAAAGGGTTAAATTTTGCAATTTTCAAATGTTAATAGAAATATGTTCCGCTCAAGAGGCACGCGATTTTATAATTTCATATCAAAGTAGAATATATTAAGTTTATCACACACATTGAACCTAAAACTACTCGAACTTAGAAAAGGGAGTACTCCCTGTTGAAGATACCCCTTTTCATCAAAATTACGTAAAGCGAAAAAGGGTTAAATTTTGCAATTTTCAAATGTTAATAGAAATATGTTCCGCTCAAGAGGCACGCGATTTTATAATTTCATATCAAAGTAGAATATATTAAGTTTATCACACACATTGAACCTAAAACTACTCGAACTTAGAAAAGGGAGTACTCCCCTGTTGAAGATACCCCTTTTCATCAAAATTACGTAAAGCGAAAAAGGGTTAAATTTTGCAATTTTCAAATGTTAATAGAAATATGTTCCGCTCAAGAGGCACGCGATTTTATAATTTCATATCAAAGTAGAATATATTAAGTTTATCACACACATTGAACCTAAAACTACTCGAACTTAGAAAAGGGAGTACTCCCCTGTTGAAGATACCCCTTTTCATCAAAATTACGTAAAGCGAAAAAGGGTTAAATTTTGCAATTTTCAAATGTTAATAGAAATATGTTCCGCTCAAGAGGCACGCGATTTTATAATTTCATATCAAAGTAGAATATATTAAGTTTATCACACACATTGAACCTAAAACTACTCGAACTTAGAAAAGGAGTACTCCCCTGTTGAAGATACCCCTTTTCATCAAAATTACGTAAAGCGAAAAAGGGTTAAATTTTGCAATTTTCAAATGTTAATAGAAATATGTTCCGCTCAAGAGGCACGCGATTTTATAATTTCATATCAAAGTAGAATATATTAAGTTTATCACACACATTGAACCTAAAACTACTCGAACTTAGAAAAGGGAGTACTCCCCTGTTGAAGATACCCCTTTTCATCAAAATTACGTAAAGCGAAAAAGGGTTAAATTTTGCAATTTTCAAATGTTAATAGAAATATGTTCCGCTCAAGAGGCACGCGATTTTATAATTTCATATCAAAGTAGAATATATTAAGTTTATCACACACATTGAACCTAAAACTACTCGAACTTAGAAAAGGGAGTACTCCCTGTTGAAGATACCCCTTTTCATCAAAATTACGTAAAGCGAAAAAGGGTTAAATTTTGCAATTTTCAAATGTTAATAGAAATATGTTCCGCTCAAGAGGCACGCGATTTTATAATTTCATATCAAAGTAGAATATATTAAG